TTTACTTTTTTTAAACCTTATATAATTTCCAATTTTGCCTTTCAAAATAATGTTCTTTAATTTTTATTTTTTTTTTTTTTTTTATTTTATTTTTTATTTTTTTTTTTTTTTTTTTTTTTTTTTTTTTTTTGTATATATACACGCCAGCGGCCTTCCAGAGCTTGCCCCAGACCCCACTATCCGCACCCCAACAAGACGCGATGGCCACTTCGCACCTTTCTACTACGTATCTAAAATCCCTAACACGCCAACATTCTGCCTTACCCGCGATGACAACACCAGTCGCCCTAACACAACCAATCCCCGGGGACCGAGATGACTATATCTATGTCTACTTCGGGTGTAACATTATACTACGGGACGCAACTCGTTATTTCGATAGGATTGCATATATAGGTCCAGGGCGCTGGGTCGGATGCCAATATGCGGTAGACGGCGGATTTCTTATAAACACATAACATGCCGAATGTCATAATAATAAAAGATATACGGAGTCGCCGGATGTACGGCAAGGTTAACAGAAGCAAAGAATGAAAAGGAAATAGTAAATTAGGATTCAATAGTTATACCATAAGAAGTAGTACTCTCATACTTTCGTCCCGTCTTATTGGTCTAACACCCTATTCGCTCCACTATCCGCACCTAAGTACATCCTCCATGGAGCCAGTCAGCTTTGCAGTCGGAATTAAGGGTTAGTAGGTCTTTCTAGTACTTGCTTGAGGCCGTTGAAATGTTCGACCCGTGGAGTGCCTACGATTCCCAATTTCGTTCTCTGTTAGTCATCTAAAGCCCAAAATCTTCGACTCACACAGCGGGTTTAGCTGCATGGAAGATGGCAAACTCTCATATACAAACGACCTATAGGAGATATTCTCCGAAAGGAAAATCGAAAGCACTTGGAGTAGGTTTGGGGTCATCCCTAGTTATTGGACTTTCCAACTGGATGTGCTAAGGTCCTCCAGGATCCAAATCAATCATATGTGCGGGAGTCATTGACCATATTTCTCCAATTCGGTGCATATTCCTTTTCAGATCTTTGCCACTGCTTTTGAGCCGAGCCGGATGATTACACAGGAGAATCAGCCAGACGTTGGAGGTTCAAGGCGAGGCTTACCAAGAAGCCAGAGGTATGATGTAGATTCTCTTATACCGTACCTTGAATTATGTGTGTTCCTGTGATCAAGTGCTCTTGAAGAGGCAACGAAAAGTCAATTTGGTTTTTCTTTTTCCTTTTTTTCTTTTTTTTTCCTTCTTTTCTTCTTCTTTTCCCCTTCTAACGCAGCCAGAGAATGTGTATTCCTGGTTTTGGTAGATTTAGCCACAGGTACATGCTGCCAAAGAGAGGGAAACCACAGGCACATTCTGTGAGGGGTAGAACCAGGAAAGGCAGGAGAGGCGAGAGTTAAACATATGATCCGATATATCCGAGTTGACCGAAGGAGGCGAAGTACTCAACCGCTTGATACTATTGAACATGACTCAGCAAGAATCACGCGCTGGCTAATAATTTGTCGAATGACAAGTCCCACAGAATATCGTGGCAAAAAGTGTGGCTGAGTTGGTGGATTATAGGAACCCACTTGGAGCCTTGAATGGATATAATATAGGATTTTGGGTTTAAAGTCCGCGTGTTGAACTACAACATGTAAGAGTATCTTACCGAGAAGTTATTTGAGGTCTTCTATAGTAGATAGCATCCAGAAGACATATTATGTATAATGAACATTTGAATAATCGGCTGCTTTCGGTAATTTTACCGTGCCTAGGAAATATTGCCACAGGAAGCTGACGCAGAATGTAAGTCTATCAAACTGCCGGGCAGCTGCGAACCACGGTGGACAATCTCAGAAGCCATGCGAACTGATGTCAGATCCGTTTTTTCCCTCTCTCTGGTGTGTTTCGGAAGGGCATCAACCTTGGAAAGTGCAAGGTGGTCGAATTTCGAACCAAACCCGTTGAATGCTTGGATCAATCTGAGTTTAAAGAATCGAAAGCTGACAAAGTGTTCGAGACGCATGTGGAAGCCTCAGCCGCATGCTATGATTGGCTACCGGTTCTCGGAAGCCAACCTTATTGATCGAACCCCACATCTATAGAATTGTAGTCTATCCACACTCTATCCACACTCTCACCTTTTGGTTCCTCTTGGAAAGTTCTCCTCATCCGGAGAGACTCCACCAAGCAAGCATATAAAAGATGGCCCTCTGCAGTCATGATCCCCTTTTCTTTCTTTCTTCAAACACATTCTTTGATCCTTCAAGTCACTCTCTTCTTGAAGTCATTCATTCTTTCGAGGTTGATCCTCCATTACTGTCACTTTAGTATCTCTGTAAATCAGGTGAACTTTTGTCCCACTTCCACTCCCTCAATTTACAATCTTCCATCATGACTTTCAACGTCTTCCTTACCGGCCTTCTCGCTGCCACCGCTGCTGCCGTCCCTCTTTCCGCTCGTTCCGGAGAATCCGGTGCCGTTCAGACCCGTGATTCTGGCGGCGGCGGCCTTCAGATCGTGAACAACATGGGCAAAGATCTCTACCTATGGACCACCTCGTCCGATGCTGGCTCCATGCAGACCATCAGCTCTGGAGGTGACCACAGCGAGGACTGGACCACGAACTCCAACGGCGGCGGTATCTCCATCAAGTTGTCCACCAGCGAGACCGAGGATAGCGTCCTTCAGTTCGAATACACCCAGAATGGCGATACCCTCTTCTGGGACATGTCCTCCATCGATCTCGACGCGAGCTCCGACTTTGTCAAGGCGGGCTTCACCGTTGTGCCCAGTGACTCGAGCTGCAAGACGGTTTCTTGTGCCGCTGGCGATGCGGACTGCAAGGATGCTTATCAGCTCCCCGACGACGTGAACACCTACTCGTGCTCTCTGAGCGCCGATTTCACTCTTACTCTGGGATAAATTTTTTTTCTTTTCTTAAAACCGGCAGGGCCGATGGAATTTTGGGGTTTTTTTGGATTTTTTTTTTTAGATTGCAGAACATAACTTCCTCCTTGGGTTGTTGATAGACTCTTGGATATGTATTTACTTCTGGAGTCGATGTTTACTATTTAGCAGTGAGCTTATCAAGTATCACTAGCACAATATAAGAATGTGTTGAAAAAGATCTCATGTCCAACTATCAAGATGTAAGTGTAACGCTATGTTCGTATAATTGGTTTTGCTTCAAGCATATACTAGGGACTTGCTATTCTCCTGTCCAGGAGAGATGTCTTCTCCCTCCTCTCTCCAGCCGCAGACAGGTCACAGATCATCCCACTTTCGATCCACCATCAGTCATCGACAGACATAGACAAACATGGCCTATTATTCTCTTAAGCAATCATTGAGGTCAATTTCACCATGACATATTACCCCTTTATCCCAGTCAACCAAGGGGTAAAGTGCCCCTCATGGTGGAATTGACTCCAGTGATTGCCCAAGAAAAGAAAAAGAGGATATGGCTAAAGTCCGTCGACAAATGATGGCGGATCAAAAGCGGAGGAGCATCATATGCTTATGTACCTGTCTGCAGAGGGGAGAAGGGGAGAAGATGCCAACACACGTATGTTTCATATTGGGCTGGCCCAGTTCTTGGCAGACACGTGAAGGTCTCCGCCTCAGGTGTCAACGAACCCCGCAACGTAACGTGGTGACTAATCTCGGCCAAGTCGTGTAGGCCGAGGCTCATTTCGAGTCTGTGACCACCGAGGTTGCTTTGCTTTATAGGTTGGTCGCACCCCGTCTGAACCTTCTCTTCCCCAGGTTTTCTTCTTCCATTGCCTGCACCCCACATATCTTCATAATGGCTTCTCCTCGTAAGTGTTCTATATCCCCTATGTTTACTCTGCACCTTATTTCCATGTGATCCTCTGCATGGCTCCATGTGGGCCCATACTTTCAACAGTGTTAACCGGGACCGTTGAACAGAACAAATCCGTACCCCGATCACTGATCTGCTCAAGATCAACCACCCCATCCTGCTGGCAGGCATGAACGTGGCTGCGGGGCCCAAGCTGGCCGCCGCTGTCACCAACGCCGGTGGTCTGGGTGTGATCGGCGGTGTTGGCTACTCCCCCGAGATGCTACGCGAACAAATCGCCGAACTCAAGAGCTACCTTAACGACAAGAACGCTCCCTTCGGTGTCGACCTCCTCCTTCCCCAGGTTGGCGGTAGTGCCCGCAAGACCAAGTAAGAACCTTCGCTGCGGTACTTTTCCGTTGTTGACACGTGCTAATCGCGTTTTGTTTCGGCAAATAGCTACGACTACACCAAGGGCAAGCTCGGTGAGCTCGTTGATATTATTATCCAGGAGAAGGCTAGCCTTTTCGTCTCCGCCGTCGGCGTCCCCCCCAAGGCTGTTGTCGACAAGCTCCACAGTGCCGGCATCCTCTGCATGAACATGATCGGCCACCCCAAGCACGTCCAGAAGGCCCTGGATGTTGGTATTGATATTATCTGCGCACAGGGTGGTGAGGGCGGTGGTCACACCGGTGATGTCCCTACCACCATCCTCATCCCCACCGTTGCCAAGTTGGTCGAGGGCAAGAAGAGCCCTCTGACCGGCCAGCCCGTGCAAGTCATCGCGGCCGGTGGTCTGTTCAACGGTAACTCGGTTGCTGCTGCTCTGATGCTGGGTGCCTCCGCTGTCTGGATCGGTACCCGCTTCATCCTGGCTGATGAGGCTGGCGCCCCCGCCGCTCACCAGGAGGCCGTCCGCACTTCCAACTTCGAGGACAACATCCGTACCATTATCTTCACTGTATGTATCCCCAGCGATTTTATTATCACGGCGTCCGTGTTGCTAACAACCGATATAGGGACGTCCCCTCCGTGTTCGCAAGAACCCTTACATCGTCAACTGGGAGGAGAACCGTCACGATGAGATCAAGGAGCTCACCTCCAAGGGTATCATCCCTGTCGAGCACGATATGGAGAACTTGCCCGATGATGTCGATGACGAGACTTTGGACAATGCCCGTCCTTGGCTGATGGGCAAGGTTGCCGCCGTTGTCAACGAGAAGAAGCCTGCCAAGGCTATCGTTGACGAGCTCGTCAGCGATGCCGCTGTCCTGCTCCAGAAGGGCAACAAGATGGTTGCTAAGCTGTAAATAATTATTCCCTATATTCTCGATCTCTATAGTCATGTTCAACGTTGGATAATAAAACTTGACCGGTGATATTCCCGGCCGACCTTTGGAACTTACCTGAATTTTGCTCGATGTACTTGGACGTCACCCGATGTCTAATGTAGGTTAGCGTTGTATGATCCCCTCTCCAGGCCGCTATGGAATTATCCCTGCTCTTTCCCAAACCTTCCTTGATCCAAAAAAAGCTCTTAAGCGCCTGGGTGGGGTATCAACTATCAATCACCCTAGTTACTCCGTATTCCACGTGGAAATCACATCCATAATCGTTATGTACCGGCATTAGCTAGTCAATTATGATATAAATAGATTGTCTATCCTTATATTTCTCATTTTGCTTCCCGTGTCCCGTGTCTACATGATCGGTGCTTTTGCTCGCTTTCCTTGTGTTGAGACCACTCCAAGCTTGGTATATCTCATTCCGTCTGTAATATTCATTAAATCTCAACTCGGATCGTCCTCTCGCTGCAAAATACTCCTAGAAACTGAGTATCCGTTCCACAATCTAGACAAACAGCCGAGGTCCGCACGCTCCATTGTGTTCTCGATCGGCACCCGAGCGCATTAGACACTACTGCACCTATAGGCAGGGTTAATCCGTAAGAGTAAATACACACATATATGGAGCTGCAACGCAAGGTACACAGAAATCCCAGTTGGTTCAATCCGTGTGCAGGTGGACCTGGTGGGTCTGACAGGGTGTTTGTAGCCGTGTTAGGCTTAGCTCCTGAGACTAGGTATGGGATGCTCCGAGCCAAAAGAATCTCGGACTTCTTGATGTATCATGTATGTATAGTACAATTACCTGGCTGATCAGCTAGAAGTCGGCTCGATCAGGTGGAACAGTTTGATAATCGGAGGTCTAACGGCCGAGAGATTAGCCAAGCATAGGAAACATTTAGCAATTACATGCGACATACCGAGTACATAAGACCAGCACGGAGCTCATTCAGAGCAGTGGATACGTTCCTGGGAATTGGTCTGTGAGTCCAATGGAAAGTGAAGTGGAGATTTCAATGGCTAAATATAAAAGTCAGTGCAGTCGGTACCATTGAGCAAAGGGAGGTCCGTGGTATGACGTCCTGGGAGGCGTTCGCTAGATCGTACGGAAAGAACATCCGTGATTTGAGTCTTTAACCTTTTCAATCACCGTGCTTTATGGTCCCACATGATGTGATGTTTTCTGTACGTGTTGCAGCTGTGCCGTCTTAGGCCCTACAACGGTGGCTGAATACGGAGAGTTTCTGGCCAATGAGGCATGGATATACCAGTGTTTTTGCTGGATGCTTCTAGGTCACTTGAATTGGGATTGAGGCGTCGAATTCGAAAGCTGCTTGCCAATCTTCGGTGCACCATAGAAATGTTTTCCGGCGTTTGACGCGGTGTCGGCCGGAAAGCCACAGAGACTAACAATATCTAGATTTTCCTGTTCCATCGTTAATCATTATCTGTGTATGCGCATTAGTATGGTCTATCAATCCATGGATGTCTGGTAAGCGGGTCGGGCCGGTCCCATGGTGAACCATCAAAGGAAGACTTAGACAGCCAGCTGTAAATTGTATTCATGTTGAAGTTGGAGATAATTCCATAGACACCAATTGATCGAAATGATTTCTCACCGTTGGCTGATGTGGGCCGACTCGGTATGGGCCATCGGCCGTTCTTACCCGAGTACACACCGATTGGGACTTGGCGAGGAGATAATGAAAAGGGACAGTCTTGGAAGTCAGTTTCTTGTGTAACACCTCCAATTGAACGGAACACAGTCAAATATCGTGAGCACTAGAGCGGAAAGGGAAAGGCCGTGAAGTGTATATATAGCCTTGTGGAGGGATCATCGGCGCCAGGGACCTTGACCAGAACTATATACGGAGCAACTCACTATCTCGAAGAATCGACTCCGTCCTTCGCTTTCAGACATCCGTAGCGAGAGGTTGGGTGTCGATACCCTCGGGCCCGGTTCAACTCTAAATAAAGCACTGCAAGCGCCGTGGCGGGGAATGAATTGAAGTGACCAGGGGGCCGAGGACCAATGAACCATGAATTCTCCCACGCGATAGACCGGATTCAAATCCCAAGGGAATATCCCCGCACTGTCCAGACGCGGCCGGTGTTCAATTATAGAGTCGAATGAAAGTCAAAGCACGTCGGGAGTCAAAGCCCATGGACTATTGGCCGAGGTGAGAAGGTAGGTTGGCTGTCACTGATCACAATACGATGCCATGTCGGAAATCCGCCCACTCATAGGCTCGGCAGTACGAAAACGCTTGTGTGGGCTCCTATTGACCGAGGCGTGCATAATTGCTGCAGCAAAGCGGGTTATTTTTGGCCCATCACCTCGCTTTTTTCTGTCGAAGTAGCCTTTCCAGGACTCGCATCTTTTCCCCTGCCCCTCCGTGCAGCGCTCTCTGCAGGTTCTCTAAGATTCGGGCTTTTCTTTGCTTTTTTGGGATTTTCGAGTTTTCTCTGCAATTCGTCTTTTCTTTTCTTTTTTTTTTTCCGCTTCATTTTTTCCCCCTTATCCCGCTAACCCTACAATTCTTCTGGGATCCAAGTCGCTGGGACGCCCCCTCATCTCCACTCAACCCCGTCGGAGGTTAAGCCAATTAGTTTCGCAATCGCATCTGATAGCACTCTACAGTGATTATCTATAAATACATTGCAACTGATATCCAGCCTTTGCACGTCAATCTCGGGATATCACATTACCTCACGGGATTATTCGCCTGGAGCCAATCCTCTCCCCGCAGCTCGTCCCATCGCACTGTTCTTGGCCCCTCTATCACCTCCAAGGTTTTTTTCGTCACACCGACTGAGCCCTTGGCCATTGGCGCGATTATATTACTTGCGCTTTCCCGGCTTTGCGCTGGAAGGTGAGCCCACAAAGTGGCGGAACCCGAGACTATTATCGTGCCCTAGTTGGATGGAAAGTACTTGCAAAGTCTTTCAATCTATATCATCTAGGCACACTTTGCAGATTCCGGGACAATGTCGCTCAAGCAAGTATGTATATCGGTGATCTCGGAACATAACCATGCTGATACTGTGATCAATAAGGAAATCGAAACATGGGTGCAGGCCCTTGAGGCCTATGACAATCAGGAATTTGAAGAGTCCCTGCGATGCTTCTATATGATTTCCGATACATCAAAGATCTTGTTTAACTGTGGAGTGATCTACGCAACGCTAGGCGAGCATCATAAAGCAGTAAGTGATCCCATGAGAGGTTTTCCCGACAGTAACTGATTTGGTGCAGGTAGAATGCTATCAACGTGCTGTCGGCCTAGACCGGTATCTGGCAATCGCTTACTTCCAGCAAGGTGTATCTAATTTCTTGCTCGGAGACTTCGAAGAAGCGTTGGCCAACTTTAATGACACTTTGTTGTATCTGCGAGGAAATACTTCCATCGACTATGAACAGTTAGGTCTTCTATTCCGCCTGTTCTCATGCGAAGTCCTGTTCAATCGGGGTCTATGCTATATCTATCTCCGCCAAATGAACCCAGGCATCCAGGACCTGGAGTATGCAGCCAAGGAAAAGGTTACTCCAGACCACGATGTGATTGACGATGCCATTCGCGAGAATGCAGATGTATGTTACTCTACTAAATTGCTGGATACAAGCTAATTCAAATACAGGGCTATACCGTCTTCTCAATTCCAGTGGGAGTCCTCTACCGTCCCAACGCAGCCAAAGTCAAGAATCTCAAGACAAAAGACTACCTAGGCAAGGCTCGACTAGTTGCGGCGTCGGACCGCAACCAATCATCAGATCACCAATGGAATCCAATAGTCATTAAAGAAGCCCTCCAAAGCCGCGAAAAAGTCCCCTTCGCCACATCCAACCTGGTACGCCACAATCTCAGCAGCCGTACTCGTCAACAATCCGAACCACCCCTAAGCCGCAACGTATTCCCCCCAACACCGCCACCAGACGACCGATCAGCCAGCACAGCATCGGGGGTATCCGGACACCACCGATCATCATCACTGCGAAATGTCCGTCCACCACGTCTGGACCTAGACCGCACAGGTGCCAGCCTAGACCGCCGACCCAACTCACAAGAACAGGCCTCCACCGAGAGACCACGGATAGGAACGACGCGCACAGCCTCCGAGCCGCGCGGGCCCTCCTCCCGCCAAAACGTGCGCGGTTACCCACAGGAAAGCCGAGGCAGCATGGCCCGCGAGCAAGCCGGCCACCGCAGAAACCTCAGCGACACAAACCCTTCCTTCCCACCGGAATCCGAGTACGGCCCCGGCGACCCACACGACCCGTACTCAAGCCAGCGCAACCTAGCCCACGCAGGCTGGGGCCGCGGGTCCCGCCACCAACCACCGCAATACATCGACGAAGAGGAAGAATACGGCAGCGACACATGCGACGCAACAACCCTCCACGACGGCGGCTTCGAGCTCGTCGGTGCGACCCCTGGTCCAAGCCAGCAACGCCGCACCCGCTCTCCGGCGCGATACTCCCGCCATGCGAACCCGCGTAGGCCCGAGATTCAGAAATTCAGGACGAAAGTCCACGCCCCAGATGATACTAGGTATATCATGATCGGGCCGGAGATCGAGTTCGGGGAATTCGAAAAGCGCGTGCGGGAGAAGTTCGGCTTCAGGTGTCCTTTGAAGATGAAGGTGCAGGATGACGGGGACATGATTACCATGGTGGACCAGGAAGATTTGGATTTGCTAGTTAGTTCGGCGAAGGAGGTTGCTCGGCGGGAGGGGAGTGAGATGGGGAAGATCGAGGTGAGTCTATCTGCACTTTATGAATCTTTGAAACATGCATATTCTGACTGGTTTCATCGTCTAGATATGGGTCGAAGAGCGCTCAATGATTTGATGCATGATTGGAATTTCTTCTCTGTTGATATTAGCATCGTGATTTTGTCTATACCCTTTTTTTACGTATTTAGCATGAAAATACGACCAATGCATGAGAGATAGTGATGTAATTCTCTTTCAATCGAGCTCGAACTTAAGGAAATTCGTTGACGGAAACATAAGATTTGAGATGTCATTGGCATTTGCCCTGGTGGCAACGGAAAAACTTGATTCTTGGACTGGCACTTTTAAAACAACATGGTCCGCTTCGCAGTACAGGTTTCGAGCGAATGTCTTCGTTGCTTCCGCATGTCTTGCTCGTTTTCCAACAGTCTCTCCTGCACATAGCGGCTTCCGCTGGGGTCGTGCTTCACTCGCTCGTCGTTGAGGATGTTTGTGAGCGTTGCTTTGACTTGGCATTGGTAGTCGCGGATTTGGGCATTGGTGGCATCGGTGGCATCGGTGATATTGCCAAAGATGATCGACACCTGGGAGTCTTTTTCGCGAAGTATGGAGTCTGGGGTAATTGACCTCGTGATGGCGGGGGTTGGGTTTAGGGTAGACAGCTTGGATGCTGCTAGATTGTTGTTTGGAGGTGGCGCCATTTTGCAAGTTCATATGATAGATTGGTATGGATGAAGTGATGAATAGATGGAATTTTTGGAATTGGTATTAGAAAAGGAGATGAAGTTGCTTTTAAAAATTAATACAGGCAAGCCCCCAAACCGTGTCAAAGGTGACCTGACGTCTGGCGGCATATCCGAAACCTGCCTGGTTGCCATAAAACGATGTGTTTGAACATACGGGTATGACATGGCGGGTTCCACGAATCAGAGGCTAGTGTATGCTTGGCCTTTGTGAAGATCGTATGACCAAGTAGTCCTAGCGTGCAGCGTTGTCGCCACTGGTGGACGTGCCGATGACAACTACAATACGCAAGATGCTATATCAGATTTTAGTTTTGTGCTTATAATTCCCTATCCTGGTCATTCTTATGAGATACTATTGACTTTCCTCAATGATCTAGAATCAACCGGGCAAGTATAGTGATGTGCGTTGTGTGCGTTTATGGAGTTCAGGCGCGTAAGGAACTACTCCGTAGGCGATAATGGATTCATTGCTAAGGCGCTAGATCGGATACCGAAATCACCCGTGTCTCTCAATCACCTATTCAGCATCGGTCTTTGTCTGTCCAGTCTCTTTCTCCTCGGTTTCAAACTCGGCTGTACCTCCAATCCAACAGCCACTGGCATTGCCACCCCCAAGCCTGAACCTCAAATTAATCTCACGGTAACGGTCGTTGTCGCAAGGCTCCCTGATCTGAAGTGGCTCAACAGGTCTGTCGACAAAGCCATTTATCAAAAGCGCAAAAGCCAAAGCAGTCGTGGTGTCCTCCCAATTCGCATCAGGTTCAGGAACCTGTCTCACTTCGTACTCCTGCCGTATTTCGTCGACGATGGCATACAGACACAATCCAGGGCTCTGAATCCTTTCAAGAAGCTTCTTGACGAGATCATCGCTCAGCTTCAAGTCACGCAATCTCCTAACCGATCTGATCGGAATCAGTGTCGTTGAGATTATGTCCGTGTCAGCATCGTCGACCGTGCCAGCATTGTGGACCATTCCAGGTGCAATGTCAGATCTCGAAATCTTCAAATCGGACAGAATGACATCCATGTTTTCGGTATTCACAGTGTTCATGTCACATGCCAGGTTGAAGAACTCAACCCAGATGTTCTCCTTGGCGTTGTCTTTGTCGGTGGTCTTCGTGATCTTTGCTTCCACACAGTCGCTCTTGGTCAAGATGCGGAGGTCGCCCCGCGGCATCATCCCAAGCTTCGAGAGTAGCCACACGGTTCCGATCATTACATGAGCACACTTCTCTAGTTCATGGTCTGGGTGCCAGACGCGGATCTCATAGTCCAAGTCGGAGTCTGCTGGTGCGGAGAAGACGAACCCGCTCGGGTGGCCGTAATTTGTGGTAAGTTTTTGCATTTCTTCGTCGGACAGGCCATTGGCATTTAGGACAACTGAAATTATACCCTTGCCGTCTGGACCTGCAGGAGAGACCCGTAGAATGTGGGCTTGGACATTCTCTATTACAGATGGATGTGGTAGAGATGATGTCGCCTCCATTGTAGATGGATTGATGTAGTGGTTAGATGGGTGAGACGGTTTTGTGTAGACGCGATACCACTCGCGAAGTGATACGGTACATGGTGAAGAGTAAGAGAAGCAAGTACTAAAGACAATTCAATACGGAGTATAGTAGGTGGTATTCCTCTGTTCCAAATACGGCGTACCCCGTATGTATAAACAAATACAGCACGCGGGATAGACCACTCGCGCAGTGACGTTGAATGTTGATCGACAAGTGTACAGTTGTATAGCAACAACACATTTCAAACCATGCCACTCCCACAATGACCGACCTAACACCAACTCTCAACAAGCTGCTATCAAAGCAAAGCTCACCACTCCCACAAACCAAACCCTGCACAGAAACCGCCGACGAGTTCCTAAAGGAGGCATACCGAATTGTAAGCCACCCTCACTAACACTATACCAAAAGCAAACCAGAAAACAAAACCTAACAAAAAGCACCACCCAGAACTCCCACATCCACTCTCTCCTCCAATACCTCCAATCAATCCGCCACGCCTACCTCTCAACAACACAACCACACCGCCGCAACCCAACCCCAAACACCAACCCTAAAAATGCAACCCCAACCCCCTCAACAAACCTCACAGATCCCGAACGTGACGCAGTCGACACATCAACAGCCCTCCTCCTCCGCGACCTAGCAACCTCAATCGCAAACCTCTCCTCCGCCGAAACCCTCCGCCAAGAAACCTCACAGACCCTCCTGCACAAGAAATACGGACACTCGGCCGCCGGCGCACTCCTCTGGCGCTGGGCCGGGGGAAGCGGCGCGCTAGACAGCGCCAGCGACGAGGGCAAGTCCGCCGAGCAGGTGCGTGCCGAGGAGAGCGCGCGGTCGATAGCGACGATCCGCGAGAGCGTGCTTTGGTTCCTGCGGCGCGGGCTGGAGTGCGCTGTCGGTGTGCAGCGGCGGATGGTCGAGAAGAGGATTGAGAGGGTGCGGGAGAAGGAGAAGAGCGTGCTTTACAAGGTTGGTGCGGGTGGGGTTAGGAAGGGGTCTGTTTCTGGTTCTATGGATAGGGCTGGGGCTGGAGCTGGGGCTGGGGCTGGAGGTCGGGGCGCGGGTTCGTTCGATCCTATGTCCCAGGCGCCTGATGCGGCGGTTCTGAGTGAGGCCGACACGGCGCGGATCGAGGCGCAGCTTTCGCCGGAGCAGTTGCAGCTTTTTGCGGAGGAGAATGATTCTATGCTTAAGCATTATGAGGATACGTTGGGGAAGGTTCAGTATGTTTCTTTTTCCTTTTCCTTTTCTTATATGTTATGCTGGGTTTTTGTTGCATAATGCTAACCATGCCCTCTTTAGAAACGCTGAGAAATCTCTCCTGGAGATCTCCTCTTTGCAGGAAACGCTTGTCTCGCATCTTGCTACACAGGAGGAGCATATTTCCCAGCTTGTCGCGGACGTGGATACGACGCATACGAATGTCGGGCAGGGAAATCGGGAGTTGAAGCGTGCTACCGAGCGACGGAGTACGGCTCAGGCTGTTTTCTGGGGTACTGTCGGGCTGTGTACCTGGCTTGTGGTCTGGGATTTGGTCTTCTAGTCTGGTGCTACTGAAGGATTTGTCGGAAGCTTTGGAGAGCTGTTTTATACCATACATACCATTATGTCTATTTCATTGAAGTGTAGCATTTTATCTCAAGATCTCTCGGGGAGGACGTGATTGTTATTGTGTCTGTCTAACTGTTGAGTGTATACTTCCCAAAGACCTTACTGTTGACGGCCCGGTCTAGCTAAATGAATCGAGATTCATCCGCGGACTAGCGTAATGCACAGACCATTGGATAAAATAACCCTACGTTGTATAACAATCCAATGCCGCATGCTATATCTATCATTTAAATGATGGATATGATAACGCAAGGAACGAGAAATGCAAATCCAGACCGAAGTCCAGAGTACTATGGTAAATTGATGCTTCAAATGAAAGTCCTTCCGAACTTTAAAGAAAAAGCTCACGTTCAGAAAGGATAGAATTAAAGAAAAACGCCAGACCAAGTCTCCTCGAGTGTTTCCACTATGTCAAGACCGGGGTATCAGGGGTATGAGGGAAGTATCACAAAGCAGACTCGCGAACAACACTATCAACCGCCTCCGCGAAGTAGTCGATGTTATTCGAGTTCAAGCCGGCCATTGAGATGCGGCCGTTCTTTGTCTGCGAGTAGAAGAAGAGTTAGGAATTGTGATTCCAGACGATGTAACACTGGGAAAGGAGGGAGAAAAACATACCATGTAGATGTGCCACTTCGAGCGCAACGTTAAGACCTGCTCCACTGAGAGACCCGTGAAACTGAACATCCCAATCTGCGAGGTAATATGATCCCACGAACCAGGCGTACCAAGCTTCTCAAGACGATCCCGTAACCCTTGTCTCATATCCAGGATCCGCCCACTCATCGTGCGCAGATCTGCCTCCCATTCCTTAAAGAGAACAGGGTCATTGAGCACGCGACTAGCAATGCGCGCACCGTAAGCAGGAGGGTTTGAGATCTCCGAGCGCTGCAGGATAGCCAGTTGGGAGGCGATGTGAGAGGAGGCAGCCGCGGCGTCCGGACCGGGCGCGGAGACGAAGTGGAAGGCGCCGGTGCGCTCGCCGTAGAGACCGAAGTTCTTGGCGAAGGACTGCGCGACGCACAGCTCGAAGCCTTGCTCGACGAAGTAGCGGATGGACCAGGAGTCGCGGACCAGGTCGCCGGATGCGAAGCCTTGGTAAGCGGTGTCGAAGAAGGGGAAGTGCGAACGCGAGCGCATGACCGCGGCGATCTGCTTCCATTGTTCTTGGGTGGGGTCGACGCCTGTTGGGTTGTGCGCGCAGGCGTGTAGAACGACTACGGAGCCGTGGGGTGCTTCTTCCAATGCTGCGATCATGCCGGTGAAGTCAAGGCCTTTTGTCTTGGCGTCAAAGTAGGGATAATGGGCAAGCGGTAGGCCGACGTTTGTAAAAATTTGGTTGTGGTTCGCCCATGTTGGGTTTGAGAGGTAGACTGTGGGCTTGTGGGGGTGGAACCTGGCGAGGAAGAGGCCGCCTAGATGGACGGCGCCGGTGCCAGAGATGGTCTGCAACGTGCAAATCTAGGGCGGGGTTAGTTTGGAGGTTTGGAAATATTGGAGTAAACAGCTACATACTCGGTTTTCACGAATGGCAGGGCTGTCTGCGCCGACGATGAGTTTCTGAGCTGCAGAGGTGAAGTCGGCGAGACCACCAATGGAGAGATATTCGTGGTTGAGAGTAGGATCGTTGTGGATAGCGTCATCGGCCTGTCGAAGTATGTCAGATCACTGCGGGGACAGAAGTATAGATATAGATATAGATGTAGATAGATAGTACCTTCTTGACGACCGGGAGAACCCAGGGCTTTGCGTTATCGTCACGGTAGGCACCAATACCCAGATCGACCTTGTTAGGTGAGGGGTCTTCTCGAAAGGCCTTCATAAGACCAAACAAGGGATCCTCGGGTGCGGCAGCGACAAGAGCCGCCGTAAATACTGATGGATTAGATGAGCCCATGATGTGTGATGTTAGAGAGGAAAGACGCTCCCTTGCAATCTGGAGCGAAGTCATGGTGAAATTATATAATCAAAAATACCCCAGGTGGTACAAAGGTATTCCCCGGAATCACCGAAACGGGATATTCCTGCTTGCGTTCACCGGACTGGAGTGAGGGGGTGGGGTTGGCTCGGGGGAATCAGCGCGCGTCGTTTGCTAAGCAGAAGAAAAAATAGTATACAGCTGTAAGGTGTACGGAGTACGTTGGTATCGTCTTTCATTCTTATATTCTATCTCGCTGCCCCTATCATATCCTCGGCGCACAAGATACCGAGGGAGAACATGCCGTATCTTTCTCGTTTTGATGGTCACATGCCAGTATATCGCCAGTGGGACTATGCTTGATTATTATAGGAACACAAACGTACGGACATAAACACCTGATGGAAATCTCAAACACATTCCCTGCCTCCGACAGGCTGCACGCGCCGATTACAAACAGTGTGTCATACAACGCCGACGAAAAAAAGACGCACTGTGGAGACCTTTCTGGCAGCTAGGATCGTTGCATGATAGGTCTCTCAGGGGGTTGTATTTTATATGTCTCAATGGCCTATTAACTCGGTGGGTATTTAGATAACTGCAGGTATAGGCAATACCTCGCAGGATCGGACTTTGAATATGAAACAGTTCTCGCAATTCTAGAGGCTCCATAATTATAAATCCATGTGGTATGTGTCATTCCCCCACACTCGTGAGGGGACTAAAATAACTCATGAGGAGCATCCCGGGACCGAGTCTCCGAAGAAGATTTGGGGATAGGGCGGACTTGCTCCGATTCTTCCCCACAGAGAAATGATGATATTGTTTGTACAGAGATAGAGAGTAGTAAGATCATATAATGAATGTAATAGGATATATACAGTACAATCTAAAATATACGCTGTAACACGGCCTAATTGAAATGATAACAGACCATTACTCCAAATACGCAAAACGGGGTATAGATGGTGTACGGAAACCAGATTTTGAGTCAGCCGCTGACGTAATCATCAGCCAATCGGTCAGACGGTCGTGCCTGGCGATCTCAACATCATGAGGTGGGTACTTTGGCAAAGGTACTGAATCTGATATTCTGATATTGAAGCTATCCGGTACTTATGTGCTCCCTGTGACCTGGCACAGCCTCAACTTATTCAAGTCTACGGTGTAGGGAGAATCTGATATCAGATAATTCGATCTGAGTCTAGATCTCTGTCCGCGTGATCGAGATATGTCGATCCCATCTCTATCTCTATCTCAAGATAAATCCAACTGAAATGTACGTGACCCTAAATTCATGATATACAGAAAGTATATACAGAGAAGAGATACAAATAAATTACTGAGAAACCAGTCTCTCTTTTCCAACCGTCACAAAACGCCAATGCTCAAACAATCCAATGGACAAGAAATAAAAACCAACCCATTGAAAAATAACGCCAGCCTCCTATCGAAGACCTGAAATCATCGGAATCATAAATCGAAAATATATGCACGTAAAGGAGTAAAATCATCATGCAGTAGACGGCGTGAGATGGACGGTCGCTGGAGCCGCCGGAGAAGGCGCAGTGTCGGCGTCCGCGGGTGTCTCAGCCTCAGCACCGTGGGCGCGGGTTCGGATGCGGAAGCGATCGCGGAGTCGGGTAGTCAGGCCACGGTGTGCTTCTCCTTCGGGCGCAGGTTCCCCTTGGCTTGCTTCGCGGACGTGTCGGAGCGCGGCGAGACGCTCCTCGACGGTGGCATCGCGCATTCGTCGGGCGTTGAGGGGGCCGTGGAGGTAGTTGGTGAGACGACGGTGAGTATGGCGGTGGGCTTCTTCCGCTGTTTGGTTTGGTCCGCCTTCTGCGGGTTGACCGGGTTGGTCGGCGTTCTCTTCCTCTGGATTCTCGGGTTGGGGTGGGTTCAGGTCGATGCGGCTGTGATTGGTTAGTCTGGGTGTTGATAGTTGATAAGTTATCATATCGACATACCAGAGTGGACATGTGCCGGACACGTTCATTAACCACGGGTCAATGCATTCCACGTGGAATTGGTGATTACAAGGTAGTACACGTAGGTCTTGGCCCTTGACAAAGTCATCCGTGCAAATCGGACACGAGAAGTTACCTCCGTCATGCACCTCGGTCTTGGCTTCGGGGGCTGTGGGGGTGGGGCGCTCATTATCGTCTGGGGTTGGCATTTCGGATTCGTGGAGGGTCGATATCTCCGTGTGACCATCGGCCTGAGGCTCGGAGTGCTCGCGATCCTCAGGGCTTATGGTCATCTCGACATCTCTTTTGGCCGCCTCGACGTCATCATTTTTTTCATCAAACTTGACGACCGGTATCGTGTCTAACATGGCTCGAGCTATACCTCGGGCTCGACTTTGCCGGACTCGCCCGGCAATCCGGCGAGGGCCGTATCGCTCGGGGTGGCGATGAGCACGGACTGCACCCGTGATAATGATGCCCAGGAACAGGGCCGTGATGATACCGGTGATGCTGTACAGGATGATCATCGCTGGAAAAAGTCAACGGACCGAGCAGGATAGAAGAAGTCGGGATACAAACCAGTGTTCGGGCTGTCGCCCGTACCACCGGAATCACTGTCGGATGGGACACCAGAGAGGTACGACATTGAGACGATGCTGATCGTTGTTGTGTTATCGAAAGCACGGAGTAGTGCAGAGTAGCCGCCTTGGCTGGTGAAAGTAAAGATGTTGGGATACCGGTTAGCAATCGGATCATTGGAGGTGAGATTGCAGCCGATAGCTGTTTTGCTGTATAGTAGAATGGCAGCGGATCCAGAGGTGACGTATTCAATTGTCTGGCCAACGCGGATATTCCCGGTATACTCGTCCTGGTCGCAAGATATGAAAGCGATCTGCGAGCTCTTCAAGTCGAGCGAATTGCTGGGGATGACTCGAGTGACAACGCCGGACACATTAAAGGCCTGAAGTAGTCAGTGGTGCCCCCACGGACGATAAGAGCGTATGGCACCTTGAGTTTGTCGTCGGTTGATTGAATCAGCGAGTTGGTTAAGGGGACCAGATTCTGACCAGTCAGAGTGCTTCCCTCAATGCGAAACCCGGTGGATTGGATCCGGACGGTGGTATTTGATGGTAGCGAAACAACCTCAGCCTGGACTGAGAAGAACAGGAGAAAGAAAAGAAACAGTCCCATTGCGGGAGACGGCGGAATGGAAGAATAAATGTGTGGGGTCACATTAGTCAAGTGGATGGTGCCCTGGTGGATGAGCGTTGCATAAAAAAAAGAGAGCGAAACTGGGAAAACCAGAAAATGAGGGGAGAGATCGGCCCTAAGAGGGCCCTAAGAGGATCCAAGCGGATAAGAGAGATTAGGCGATTGATTTCGGTTATTACATATTATGTTGTTATAGATTGCTTTATCTTGTAGTTATATATGTTGGAGTTATGTTGTAGGTTTAGGGTACATAACTATGTCAGGATAACGTGGTTAACATGGTTAACGAGGGCATCCTCACTACCACATATACAGCAGAATAATCATTGACGATCACACTTGGAAACGTCATCGCTGGACTTACCCTAACTACATCTGCACAGGGCGATCTTTCGATGTAAATCAGCATCATCGCTCTCGTATTCGCTGTCCTCGCCCAACTTGCCCAGTTAGTGTGATTAATATTCCGGACTTCCGATCACTGTCTCAGTTCTTCTCTTTTAATTTTCTGCACGTTCTATCTTCAGACCCAAGGCATTTAGCCTGATCATTCCCTGGTCTCAATGTGGTTTTGATATGGGATGATCCTAATCTGACATGCTTACTCGACTTCCAAGGTTCTTCAGCTCAGGATTATTGTTCCACGATCAACGCTACCCCGCAGATACCTATTGAAATCAATGCACCCCATGTTATTTGACCCACCGAGGGAAAGAGAGAGTAGAAAATAAGTAAAGAGGGGTGAATTGTCGAATGGACCACACATTAGTACTAAGTGCATGGATGTCCAGTCTAGTCTCTTCCGAATATCAAATCCGGAGAGCGAACGGGAAGAGAGGTTTAAAGTATAGTCCTAGCACCGGATTAAGTCTCCGCTTTCTTGGTATGATCTGATATGTAACTACCTATATATACTTGGACTTATATATATCCTATCGTATGAGTGCCTTGACCCTACATACCATACAGTCCTTCCTCACCCAAATAAATACGAATTCCTCCTGAGTGGCGAGAGTAGGGCCTCGGCTCTCATCAGGCCCGGCGTGCATTGTCTTAGTACTCCATAACACGGTGGGAAAAAAAGAGGAAAATAGAAAATAGAAAACGACGAAAAACAGCCAGAAACCAAATGGAAACCAAATGAGACCAAGAGGAAAGGAAAAACCAGGCCATAAAGTAAAATAACAACAAAATCGATCTAGATCATCTCCAAAGAAAGCAAAGTAAAAAGGTCTGGTATTAATAGAAACATCTCTGCCTCTTCCTCTGCTCATTTTTAGCTTCGTCCCCCTCTCTGAGCGGCAAAACCCGCCCTTCAAAAGTTCAATTCTCCCTTCCCCATCCTTCTCCTCCATTTTTGTCACTCTCGACTCATCTCTCCTTTTGGGGACATGTCGTGAAAAAACACCAATCTGCTTTGTCTTTATCACCTTCGTGGGCAACATCATGCCCGAGACCGCTACCCCGAGCCGGGCCTGGCAACACCGCTTTGACGGGAAGCCAATCTCGTCGTAAGCATCTTTATAGACCTCTCGGGAAACGATGGCCGATGGCATCGACCCTATCAAGTGCTTCCCCTTTCTAATCCCATATCCCCCCCACAGGAATCCCGCCATCGCCGAACTCGATATCGAACGGAATGAGTTGGCCCACACGTGGAAAAGGTTTATCAGCCTCCTCCTGCCCCAGGATCAGGTGCAATGGGAGGAACGGCCACAGACGGTGCTCGACGTGCAGACCTTGCTCAGCAATATCAAGGCATTTTGGATGTCCCGCCCCCGACAACGGGTCTTTAGCGACTCCATGGACTTGTGTGATCGACTCCTGCCGACGGTGAACACGCACGCGACCCTCCTGTCGACCCTCCCGGACTCGATGGCATATACCCCTTTGTTCTACGGAGTGCTTCAATCGGTGATCAAGGTGCGTGCATACCGACACACAAGGCTACGTGGCATTGCTAACCTCCGGTCAGGCGTCGTCACATTACCCTCGCGTAATGGAGGGCCTAGCTACTGCCCTGCTAAATATTCACGATGCTCTAGGTCTGCCCAGTGATTCTAGTCTAATGTCAAACGCCGTCCAACATATTACCAAAACCTATGCTCTAATATTCTTCTTTCTGACCGAATTCATGGACTGGTATGTGCGGAGGTCCACGTGCCAGTTGCTGAACATGCATAGCCAGGATGTGTACTCGGAATTCCATCACCTGGTACTCTATATACAACTGCAAGCACACAATATTCCATGGCAACATTCCGAGATGGACGTCGACGAGGAGGAGGAGGACCCATATAGCGCTCGGGCACTGTGGGAGGAGTCCCGGCTCAGCCAAGTAGGACGCCGGGGAAAGGACCGTCGGATAGCGGCACAGAATACCATCACTCGCCGGCTTATTTGGGAGATTCAGCAAGACGCAGCGGAGCGCAATCGGTATAGGGAGGGCCGGGATCGGTTGTTGGCAGAGACATTGAGCTCCGTGCGCGAGCAACTGGAGCCAGTCAATGAACAGAGCAATGGCATTGTCTGCATAACCACGCCTCCTGCTCCGAATATAGGTAAAGTCATATCTGTCTGGAGCTCGGTTCACCGTCTGACGTAATGACAGACACGTCCTCTTTTGAATGGTCGCGGGGATCCAAGCGCCGTCTCGCACGCCTTGAGATTCAAAGTTCATCCAAGCACCTCCAGGACTTCTTCGATAGTGATGATCAGATTTGCGACTTCGAACCCGACGCCAAAGTCGTCGCCGAGGGAAATATCGTCGCCTCTCTACAGCAATGGGCCACCAGTTCGCGATCTCAGGCTTTAGCCGTGGGCGGGACTCAACCTACTGCTTCTCTCGACCCGGTGGCTCTAATTTCGGCTTGCTACGCTTCCTTCGCGCGGCAAGCTCGATTGCCCGTCGTCTCTCATTTCTGCGCCCTTCCTAGCCAGGAGGTCAAAGGGCTGAATCTCCAGGAGCAAGGCTTAGTTGCCCTCACCTACAGTATAATCCGGCAATTAGTCGACTGGCTTCCTCCTGTAGTCGACAGCGACGCTGTCCTGGATCTCAGCGCGGAGCGCTTTCGCCAACTAGACGGAACGCTCACTAGCTGGAAAGCCGCTCTATCGCTAGTCGACACCCTCTTACAATCTGCTCCACCACTGCTGGTCTTTATAATCGACGGCTTAGACGCCATCCACGATCCGTCTACTGACGGAGCAATCCGTGAACTCGTCCGCGTGTTGCTCACCCACACCCGGCGTCAGCCCCAAGGTGGTCTCAACGGGCAAGGCCCTACTCTCCTCCTGAAGGTACTCTTCACTGTTACCGGCAGACCGAGTGCCTTGATCGAGACAATGTCGGAACACACACTCATCCTCAGCGAATCCAAAACCAACGAACCCACGCCGTCCGAACCGGTCCTCACATCGGACATCGGAGCGGTCATGATGAATGCATGAATTGTCACGCCCAGTGCCGTTTACGAAATTCTTTTTCTGCTGTTTTTGGCTAAAAAACGTTTTTGAAGTTCAAGCATAGATTTGCGTGGGTTGGGAATATTTGGATCTTATGAAACAGGCACCACACCACTTATTTATGCATGGGTGTTTGTCTTCTTCTACAGGCAAGGCTTTCCTGCGTTCGGCGTTCTCCTGTTGCTTTTTGGCGTCCGGGAGGACCGAATGGTTTATTTGGTTTCTTTTTTTTTGTGCTTCGGTGGTAGTGGTAGACCTGTACTATACTGCTTGATAGCTGTGATACCCATCTAGGTCTAGGATTCATTTGCTATTCTTATTTTCGAACTTGCTCGTGCTGTTTAACGGAAACTCTTTTCCGCGTCGCATCTCGGCACTCCGTATAGCCGATCACAATGCGGGGAGCCGATGGACATTGGTTTCCGCCTCAAAAAAATATTTAAACGGTTCACCGAATGCATCAATTGGGATATACACATACACTTACCTATATGCTGTAATACACACGATATACGCAATCATGAACGGCCACGGAGTTTCGTCCCGTCTCTACTCCCCCTCCACCCCGCAACTCGCCGAGTTCAAAGACATTTGCTCGCGAACCACAGACCCTGCAACCTACCCACTAGCCAGCGAAATCAAATCCAACATCCCCATCTACGACCTCGCGGCCCTCGAATCCACCGGCCTGACAGCAGACCTCATCAACCGCCTGCAAGATGAATGGCACCACATCCTCCACACCGGGGCGGGCGTCTACGTGCTCCGGTCCATGTACGCACCAGCGAAATACGAAACAACCCTAAACACCACCAATGAGGCCTTCAACGCGATCATCGCGCGCGAAGCCGCCCAATCAACCAAGAAAGGCGACCACTTCGCCGTCGGCGGCTCCAACGACCGCATCTGGAACTCCTTCTCAAAACACGCCCTGCAAGACCCATCCTCCTTCATCGACTACTACTCCAACCCGTGGCTCGCAATCGTCTCCGAGTCCTGGCTGGGCCCGGCCTACCGTGTGACCGCCCAAGTCAACGCCGTGCACCCCGGCGGCGCCGCTCAGGAAGCCCACCGCGACTACCACCTCGGCTTCCAGGAAGAAGTCGCCTGCAAGCGCTACCCAGCCGCGACGCAGCTGACCTCGCAGTTCCTGACACTGCAGGGCGCGGTCGCGCACAGCGACATGCCTATCTCGAGCGGCCCAACCCGCTTCCTGCCCTTCAGCCAGACGTACAAGTCCGGGTATCTGGCGTGGCGCAAGCCCGAGTTCCGCGCTTTCTTCCAGGAGAGCTATGTTGCGCTGCCATTGAGCTTTGGCGACGGGTTGTTCTTTAACCCGGCGCTGTTCCATGCTGCCGGTGCTAACGAGATGGATCCCCAGAATGGGGGCTTCCGACGTGTGGCGAATTTGCTGCAGATTAGTAGTGCCTTTGGAAAGCCTATGGAGACGGTTGATTCCGTGCCGCTTGTGGATGCGACTTGGGATTTGCTGCTTGAGCGGTTCCGCGCTGCTGGCGGCGCTTTGGCGACCCAGGAACTTGACCCTGATACGTATTCGTTGCAGCAGAGGGAAATTAGGGCTTTTGTACAGGCTGTTGCGGAGGGATATCCTTTCCCTACGAATTTGGATCAGAGACCGCCTGCGCTGAGCGGCATGGCGCCGGAGAGTGAGCAGGATATTGTGGTGAAGGGGTTGGAGGGTGGTTGGGATAGGAAGCAGGTTGTTGCTGCGCTGGAGAAGATCCATGTTGACTCGCGGGCGTAAAGCAGGGGTCTTTCATCCCTTGCGCTGACAGTATATACCAGTATAAATTAAATATATTACGTGTGATGCATCTAGAACCAGTCGTGTGTTCTTTTTCCCCGACTAACCGAGTCCTCCGTCACTAGTCAACTAGACTGTTTTGATCTCAAGCCACCCGCTGATGAGAGTTGCTCATTGGACGATCAGACCTCATCGCGTGTGGGGGTTGTAGTGGACCTGCATGTCGAACTTCGCGTTGGAGATCTCCTTTTCAGGACATGACACGCAGTTTGTGCATTCAATGTGGTAGAATAGATGAAGTATAAGCGAAATGGGGACGGAGAGGGTCTGCAGTACTCCGTGATATGGAGTCGATCGGTCAGATACACAGACTAATCAAAAGCAACGAATGACGAGGCTGGAAAGATTCCACAGGGGGGAGGAAGGGGAAGATGGCGGTCTCACATTTTTACCCTGTTCCCCCCCAACGGGTCCTGATGAAACACGGCATGTTGGATGTATCCATGGCGTTCGCGTTTTTCACTTTCAGTCTTCCTTAAGTCTCTACGCTTCCTTTCTTTCTTCCTCTCTCGCAACACCCTCTTGGGCCCTAGTCATTCATTTACTGTACATATGTACATCTACGGCTTTGGTTTGATCTCTCGCTACTAACCAATTCGCCGATCCACATCTCCACCTACTTGTTGACCATTGACATTCGACGATCGACTACCGAGTTTACGCACACTGCGCACACTGGTCCGGGAATCATACGAACCCATAACTTGGCAGCTATCGCGAGAAAAAAAGTACAGCCGCGGAGGTTATTGGTTCGCCCGGCGAGGGGGAGGCAAAAAACAAGCAGCGCTACCAATAGTTCGTGTGCTATAACGGGACTATTTTTTTTTGCGTGTCTCCACCATAGACACGAAAGCCCCTCCGCAATCGAAACCACTGTCCTGGTTTAGGGGTGGGCCCGCATTGACGCAATAAAGGTCCTGTCTGCCTTCCAAGCTTCTCGCGATGGGACGTTCGAGTCTTTCCATCAGGCGACTGACGGCTCACCGATTTGAGCAGCTGCACGACATGCCGGACCATAGCAGCGGCAATGGGATGCTGAATCCTAACGATGTGACCATTGATATCCCTCTGACCGAGACGACTTCTCGTGGTCAAACGGGCGCCCGTAAATGGAACACCAATACCAGTGCCCAGGACTTCCACTCCCAGACCACGGAGAAGGCACCTATTGTTGGCGTTCACCGTGGTCCTGGTGGTAGGCGTCGCATGGATACAGAAATCAATGAAATAACCGGAAAGCCTGCTGAGTCGCCCGAAGACGGCACTATCAACCGTATGGGCCGTTTCTACCAAGCTGTCCTGAATTACTCCCTCGTCACTCGTTACCTGATTTATGTCCTTCCAATTGCGATTCTGATCGCCATTCCCATTATTGTGGGCGCTACGGCGGCAACGTACGCCAAAATTGGCGGTGTTCATATCTACTGGTTCTTCACGTGGATTGAGATCGTCTGGTTCAGTCTGTGGGTGTCCAAGCTCTTCGCCCGTTACGTTCCTTATGTCTTCCAGTTCTTGTGCGGTATCGTCAGCTCCGGTACACGCAAGTATGCGCTTATTCTGCGCGCCCTCGAGACCCCTATTGCGCTTGTGCTGTGGGCTGTTATTTCCCTCGTGACCTTCTTGCCGGTTATGACATTGACTCCCGGTAAGAAGGCTTCCGGCGACACGGCTCCCAAGTCGTGGGAGAAGAGTATCAAGAATATCTTGTTTGCGCTGCTCGTGTGCAGCCTCATCTTCTTGGCTGAGAAAGCTCTTGTGCAGCTCATCTCGATCAGTTACCACCGTAAGCAGTTCGATGCCAAGATCCAGGTCTCCAAGCGCAATGTGTACTTGGTCAATCTGCTCTTCGAGGCTTCGCGCAATATGTTCCCCGTGTACTGCCCTGAATTCCAAGATGAGGACTCACTCCTTTTCGATTCCATCCTGGTTCAGGCTTGCAATAATGGTGGCAAGCGGTCCTCCGCTATGCCTCTCCGCATGCTCCGTAATGTCGGCAAGAACGTTGGCCGTGTTGGCGACAAGGTTACCGCTGCTTTTGGGCATGTGGCGTCGGAGCTGACTGGTAAGCAAGTCTTTAACCCGACTGCGACACATACCATGGTTATCGAAGCCCTTGAGCGCAAGCGCCATGCTGCTGCGCTGGCCCGCCGTATCTGGATGTCGTTTGTGGTCGAGGGCCGTGAAGCTTTGTACCTAGAGGACATTGTTGAGGTCCTGGGTGTTGAACACGAGGCTGAGGCCGAGGAGTGCTTTTTGGCTCTTGACAGGGACGGCAACGGTGATATCAGTCTTGACGAGATGGTCATGACCATCACCGAGTTTGGACGCATGAGAAAGGCCCTGAACCACAGTATGTACGACGTCGACCAGGCTATCCGTGTGCTGGACAACCTGCTTCTGTGTGTCGCTGGTCTGGTTGGTGTTCTTGTCTTCATTTCTTTCGTCACCACTGGATTCGGTACCGTCATTGCGGCTGGTGCCACTTCGCTGCTCTCTCTCAGTTTCGTGTTTTCCGTTACCGCTCAAGAAGTACTCGGTTCCTGCATCTTCCTTTTCGTTAAGCATCCCTTCGATATCGGTGACCGTGTCGAGGTCAGCGACAAGCCTTTCATCGTTGAGCGTATCTCACTTCTTTTCACTGTCTTCCGCAATGTTACCGATGCCCGCATCACGCAGGTGCCTAACAATATTCTGAACAGTCTCTGGGTTGACAACTTCACTCGTGCCAAGGCTATGCACGAACAGCTTGTCATTCCCGTTGCCTTCGACACCACCTTCGCTGAGGTTCAATTGCTGCGCACTGAAATGGAGCACTTCGTTCGCGACAAGGATAACTGCCGTGACTTCCAGCCGGATATTGACATCGAACTTGACGGCGTTGGTGATATGGACAAGCTCCAGCTGCGGGTTGACATCCGTCACAAGTCTAACTGGTCTAACGAGACTATCCGCGCTGCCCGGCGATCCAAGTTCCTGTGTGCGTTGGTCCTGGCCGTCCGCAAGATCCAGGTTCGCGCTCCAGGTGTTGCACCTCCGGCAGCAGAGGATGCCGACGCTGCAGATGGCGATGACAAGGGTGATGATGCCGGCGCCGGTGCAGACGTAGGTCACCGCAAGTCTACCCAGCCCGGCGCGGCCGATTCCTCTAAGCCCGATCCCGGTGTCGCCGCTGCCACTGCCACTGCCGCCGGAGGTATCCTCGACCACGAGAATACAGCCCAGTCGACAGGCTACGACCAGGATCGAGCAGGAACAGTCACCCATCGCGGCTCCACCCAAACCAACGCCACACAAACCAACGCCGAGCGCGAAGCCGCCATCGTCGAACTGCTCAACGCGCGCTCCCCAACTGTCGACATCGGCCGCGATCACTACAACGGTCACGAGTCAGCCCTCCACCGCACAGCCAGCAACGCCTCCCACCAAACCCATCTAAACGTTCCCCACGGAAGCGAAGGCATCAACCGCGGCCTGTCAACCGGCCACCGCAAGGCCGGCGATCGCGCCTCCTTCCAGGAGCAGGATACACATCCCGCGCTCAGGAACCCCCAAGCCCCTCTCTCCCCAGTGCCCGCCGGCATGACCCCATCCTCAAGCCAAGTCCCCATCCTTGAGACCCCCAAGCCCGGCTCCCGTGGCAGCGCCCGCTACGAGCCGCGTCCCCACGCAAGCCAGGACGAAAAGAGCACCATCCAGATGCTGGGCTCCCCCGACCCCAACCGCTTCGACGGCTACTACTCCCACGACACGGGGTACAATCAAATTCCGCTCGGCGGGTACAGCGCTGAGAACACACCGGGACGCGATCGTCGCGACTCCAACCCGAATATCTCCAGCGTGACGGCCTCCAGCAATTATCAACTCTCTGACCGATATGACCCCGCCTCGTCGCCGTCCATCTACTCCCCGCCTCAGCCTCAGCCGACGGTGCCACAGCAGGCTGTGACCTACAATACTGCTCCGCTGAGGAAGAAGGAGAAGTCTCCTTATGGGGAGCATGAGGCTTGATCGTTTTCTATCTTTGTTTTTGTACTGACTCCCTCTCCTTGATTACACATTCTTGGCTAGCTGCATCTTTGCATCTTTGCATCTTTTTGCATCTCCTTTTTCTTCTTCTTGGTTGTTCATATTATGTGTGTGATGTATATAGATTCTTTCCTTTGCGTTTTTGAGCCGCATAAAAATTCTCCTCCCCTTCGTGGTATGCGGCTATGAACCTATGCTGTCCTCGGTTTTTGGGCATCTAAAATCAAATCTACTTTCCTTTTTTCAGGACGATTCCGTTGGTGCTTGGATGGCCATGCTACATACCGATGCCTCTTACAACAGAGACAATAGGATAGGCAAGTGGCATTGGAACAGAAAAGAAAGGTGCTGGGACTATGCTTTATACCAAAAGAAAGCTGTGATATAATACTTAATAAGATTGAAACGCCCCAACGAAAATATCGAGCAGAGAAACAGATCATATTCCCATAACCTAACACATCGAATACAAAGTGATATAATACAAGTTTGACTACGGAGTAAGTCTAGGCAAAATAGAGCTAGCCACGTCCAATCCCATCTTCCAACCTATTTATTTCCAGTCTCCTTCCATGGATATCCAACAGGATCATCCTTCCGCGTCCAGATCTTGGTCTTCCTCTTATTAACCACATGCTCAACAAACACCTCGCGCGTGTACTTGGCCTTGTACTTTCGGATCCAGCGCGGGTCCCAAAGTTCACTCGCAATGCCTAGATCCTTGCAGCAGCGCACGAGCGCGTTCGATCGGCAGCCTTCTGTAGCGGTGGGGATACCGTCGGGGGAGAAATAGTCCTGTTCGCCGCGGGCGACGGAGACGAGGCTGGAGAGAAATGTTAGCTAGTGTTTAGGTTCTCTTGTTCCTTTCCCAATACAGCCTGGATGATGAAATCAAGACTGTAAAGCAGATTGCATGTAAACGAAAGGAAAATGTAAATGCGCTTACCGTCCATTACAAACAAGAGCATACTCCCTCGTCACCGTCTTGGGCGTAACGATACTCTCACTCCGCGGCACGAGACCCCACCCGCCAGGACCGAATGCGCGGTTGAGAATGCGTCGGTATTTGATCTCCGGCAGGTACAGGATACCATCGGGCTTGATCTCGACCTCGTCTGGCTCCGTCTCCGCCAGCAGGATATCGGCCGCTTCTTTGGGAAACGGCGCGGCAGACAGACCGTGGAAGGATCGCGTCCAGTCGATTCTCTCTTCGGCTGGGCGCTCAAGCTCGAGCGGTTTGTCTGATAGGCCTGTTTTGGAGATGTTTTCGGTTGTTGCGCGGCTGGGGGTTGCGCCTGGGAGGCGGGATGCGGGGACGCCTGTTGGGATGGGTGTTGAAGGTGATGGGGTGGGCTTTGCGGCGGGCGTTGCTGGTGTTGGTGTTGGTGCGGGTTTGGCGGTGTTCTGGTTTTTGGTGGTGTAGCTGATTGCTCTTCTGGTCATCGGGCTGGAGAACTGGCTGATTCTCATGTTAGGGGCTCTTGAAGAGCGCGAAGGTTGTGTCGCATTTTGAAAGGACTCGATTGCGCGCCAGGACCGGATACGAAGAGGAGCAGACATCGTGGCTTGTATTGTTGATAGCGGAAGGAGGATGGAGGTCTTGCGAAAAGCATATATGCAGTCACGTGATATGGATTTGATAGCTTCGTTCTGTCAATGTTGGGATAATCGGGTGAATATTGAGTGGAATAGATTGCAGGGACTATTTGAACATGGTATTATAGGTAGAGTACATTATGCGTCTTTGGTCTGTGTTCGCTGGTCGTTGCCCTGGCGCTTCCAGCACTCGCGGAAAGCTTCCATCTGTGTTGACTAGAGTCAGTATGATCTGGGTAATTGAAGCTATTTGCTATTCCTCCCATTCATTGGACTTTGGAAGTTGTATTATGGTTATTGCAGAACTAGCCCTCAATGGCTTTAGGTGGAATGATATATGTTCAGTTCGGTAGATTTGATAGCTCACCTCTTTTTTGCATTCGCGCCAGTCCTTCTTTGCGTAGTAACAGTCATTCATCTTATCCTGCTCAGCTAATATGTATTAGTTTAGCCTTTGTGACTCAAATTGAGTATAAGTTACTATGGCAGCCTGTGCTGAAAATCCGCTTATCCCTGCCATTGCAGTTAGCACCACGCAGACCAGAAACCTAATACAGGGCCTCACCAATCATCCGGCTCATCATCATCATCTGGGACAACAGTTGTCTTCTCCACGTTGTTCGACATGGCTGAGGTATAACAAGGAAAGTTGGAGAAAGGCGGTTGGCCTCGGCGGAAGATGGAGAACTATGCTTATCGCATGATCTGCCTTTACCACGAACCAACAATGGCAACGCCAACGGGCAACAACGCCAATTTCAGTGGCAAAAGGCTTAATGTCCTAGTCTATTCCGGTTCGCTCAATTTACTCAGTCTGGCAGCTTAACCGATTTCTAACTGATGACTTCTTGACAGGAAATGGAACCACCGTTGACTCAGTCCGTCACTGCCTCTACACCCTCCGCCGCCTGCTCGCTCACCGCTATGCCGTCATCCCTGTGACGGGCGATATGCTCCTTAATGAGCCATGGATGACTACGTGTGCTATGCTGGTCATGCCCGGCGGTGCGGATATGGGGTACTGTCGCACACTCAATGGTGTGGGGAATCGGCGCATCGCACAATTTGTCCGTAATGGCGGGCGGTACCTCGGCATGTGTGCTGGTGCCTACTACGGAAGCAAAAGGTGTGAGTTTGAGGTCGGCGATAAGACAATGGAGGTTGTTGGGGATCGCGAATTGGCTTTCTATCCGGGCATCTGTCGGGGCGGGGCATTCCCAGGCTTCGTTTACCACAGCGAGGCGGGAGCACGTGCTGTGGAAATCAAAGTGATCAAGGGAGCTTTGAACATTGGCACCGTGCCAACCAACTTCCGGTCGTACTATAATGGCGGCGGTGTGTTTGTTGATGCGCTGTCGCTCGCAGATAAAGGGGTAGAGATTCTTGCGAGCTATACTGAAAAATTGAATGTCGATGGAGGAGATGGTACGGCTGCTGTTGTCTACTGCAAATTCGGTGATGGAGCAGCAGTTTTAAGCGGACCTCATCCTGAGTATGTTTTGGATTTCAATTGGGAGGATTAAGTCACTGACTTGTGACTAGATTTGCGGCTGCTAATCTGGACCCGAAGGAGGGCGGTCCTGAATATGCGGACTTGGTGGCGGCTATCGCTGCCGATGACAAGGAACGAACGGACTTCTTGAAGGCTTGCCTGTCCAAGCTTGAACTTGAGGTCACACAGGACACGACAACAGTGCCTTCACTGTCATCCTTGCACATGTCTGGAATCGATGCCGATGGTCCCATGGATATTCTGTCGGGTCTTGGAGCTTCATTCACCCAAGAGGGTCATACTGAGTATCTCAAGGATGACTACGATACGTTCCGCATCGAACGCCCTGGAACATGGAATCTCGGTGAACTAGAAGAAGCACTCCCCGCAACATCCTCGGAGTCTAGCGATGGTATCATTGATTACCAGGCAATTATTAAGCGACTTGTGTTCCACGATGATATACCATCTTCGAAACTGACTCCATACTTCAACCACCATGCATTCTACTCCCACCTCCGCCAATACCAATCTGACTCCAAGGGAGACGCTACATCATTTGGCTCTAATATTCTATATGGAGAGGTAGTGACTAGCACGAACACACTTCTTGAAAAGTAAGCATTTGGTCAATATGGCATTTAATCGGCTCTAACAATTAGTAGGAACACGAAGCTGCTGCGTCAGTTGCCGCAGGGTTTTACGGCTACCGCTACAGCACAAATTGCCGGACGCGGACGCGGATCCAATGTCTGGGTCTCACCAGCAGGTTCTCTAATGTTTTCAACTGTGGTGCGACACCCAATGGACAAGATTCAGACAGCACCGGTTGTGTTCCTTCAGTACCTATCGGCCATGGCCGTAGTCCGGGGAATCAAGAACTACGCCAAAGGCTACGACAAGATCCCGATAAAACTGAAATGGCCGAATGATATTTGTACGTGCGGGTGGCTTGTTTTATTACTATGGGTTGTTACTGATAGATCTCTACAGATGCATTGGATCCAGATGACCCCGAACAGAAACGGTACACGAAGATCTGCGGCATTCTTATCAACTCCCATTTCATGTCAAACGAGTACATCTCCGTCGTCGGTGTTGGCCTCAATGCCACAAACGCCTCTCCGACAACCGCCTTGACCACCCTCGCCGCACGCTACGCGTCGCCGGGAGCTGCTGCCGCTTCACCTGTCATGCTTGAGAGGCTCCTGGCTCGTATTTTGACTACATTTGAAAGCTTGTATACCCGCTTCTTGCGCACAGGCTTCGATCGAGCCTTCGAGGCGATGTATTATGAAGACTGGCTGCACATGCACCAGATTGTCACGTTGGAGGAGGAGGGTGGTGCTCGCGCTCGCATTCAGGGTATTACGCGTGATTTTGGTCTTCTGCTAGCCGAGGAGTTGGGGTTCAATGATCGTCCGACGGGACGTGTGTGGCAGTTACAGAGTGATAGTAACAGCTTTGACTTCTTCCGTGGGCTGGTGAAGCGGAAGGTGTAGACCAAACCAAAACAGATAAATAGGTCGAGATATCCATGTCTATAACTACTAGTTCATACATGTGATTTTGCTCATCAATATCCCAAAGAATTAATTGTAGACCAACAGACTTAAGCGGGAACACCCTCGAAGATTGTCCCTAGGTATAACAATCACTTGCCGTGCGAGGGACCAGCCAGACAAAAGTCATGTTATCGTCGTCGGTGGCCGCGAATCATAGACTTTGTCCTTGTCCTTGAAATGAGAGGCCTCATCAATCGAAATGTTCGCGCTTATACATGACCTTCAATATAAGCCCTTTTCTCAAACAACTCCCCATTCAGATATGATGTGGCGATCTAATGTGTATGAAGACGTTATATATGCAGTCGGAAAAAAGTGCGTAGTATAGGATACAATGTCAAGGCCTCGACTCAGCCCATGAGACCCATCGTCGGATACACTCATCCACCCTCCTCAGCGACTCCTTCTCCGCCTCGACCTCAAACCACTCCCGATGCTCCTTCCCGCACTCGGGACATTGGCCTAAGTCCTGTATACGCTGAGCCGCTAGCTCAAGGTGAATGAGTCGTTCCACGCGATGCACATGCGGGACTTTCCTTCCCGGTACTAAAGATGCGCTATCCTGGCTAGGGTGGGATGGCGTGTAAGGATAGTAACGGATCAAGGTCAAGTCATATGAGCACTGTTTACTCCATTCAGCAAGCCGACGATGCACATTGCTCGTGCGTCCAATTTTCAGCCTAAGCGTTCCCGGCTTGGTTGATGTCGGGTTGGAGGTGAGAGCGTTCATGTCTTGTGCTGCACGGATTGCGTCGCTGACGCTGCGTGGCTGCGTGGGTGGGCGGAGGCTGTTGCTGCTTTGCGGGGCCTGCGGTAGTAGAGAAGATGCTATGTCTCGCGCTACCGCGGATTCAGCGCTCCGTTGTGTGGTAGTTGTCGGGGGTGTCAACCAGAACATGTAGATATAGCCTTCGTCATCGGCACTGGATATTGGTTTGGCCAGTTCTGCAATAAGAATGGATGCTGTCTGCGGGGGAACTGTAGACGGGATCCACGATGATAAGGGCCTGTCTGACAAAGATGGTGACACTTGCGCATGCTGCGGCCTTCCAGCTGTAGCGGGCATTGCGACATTTTGATTTGAAGAAGGCGGAACGCCATAAGCCGGGCGAGGCGGTCTCGGCTGAAATGAGGTCGGCTTGTCATCCTCGCCGCTGTCCTCTCCGATCTGAAAGCAGCAGCAAAATGTGTGTTTCCTCCGGCGACGCTTTTCACTAGGCCTACTTTGATATGTATGGGGAGGCTTTGGCTTCGAGGAGACTGGATCGTTTATCTGGAGCACACCCAGTCGATCCAATAATGTATCGATGCTTGTCCTTGTCTTAACTGGGGTGATGCCATTCGTAGGTGGATTCGCCGAAGTATCTTGATCTTTGTGCTGCCAGCAGTACAAAGATGCTGCATCTATAGCTTCTTGACGAGGATCCCTCTTTCGGGGGGTAGGAGCAGGTGATGGATTTGGAGATGCCAAAGAGCGGCGGCAGGGCCGACCTTGGGAAGTGATGCCTCTACATGTTGTCGCTGGGTTTCGAGAATCTGAGCGCGGAAGCAAAGATTCTGGAGTGTTTGGAATTTGAGGCATATATGAGATGAGATCAAGTGAAAGAATGGTATATGTTGTAGATTTCTGCGACGTGAACTTAAAATGAGAAAGAAACCATTAGGGAAAAGGAAAGGACACTAGGCTATGAATTGCGGTGAGCTTCCAAAATTCAGCCCAGAGGCTACATATTCTCCACTTGGACCACGTCAGTGGGACGCTGGGCAGCTGAGAATAGAATAGGAGACTTTTGTTGTTGTTTTTTTGGTGATCGGTTGCACCGCCACAGTAAGGCGGTGTTGTAAGTGGCTGTGCTCATGCTCATTGCCTCGGCATAATTGGACAAGTTGTACTTGATTGCTTTCATTCAGTTTCAATGATTGACCTGGATATAAAACTTCAATATGTCTTATGTTAATATCTTTCAAACCAGGCCAGTGCTTGATTCTCCGCTTCATCGGCCTGTCTACTGGCATCTTCCTGAAGGAAATCAGCCCTGACACAGAAGCCATGGCCAGCGCCCTCATAGACCACCACTTCACCCTTTCCAATACCGGACTCGCTGAGGAAGACCTGTTTGATCTGCTCAATGTGCGGAGGTTTCACGACCATATCTTTTTCTGCAAGCGCAAAGCTTACAGGGATTCTGATTTTCTCGATCTCGCCAGGAATCTCGAGAAAGCTCGGGTGGCCCGTAAATCCAGCATTAAGCAGTGGTTTTCCATTTGAAGCCGTGTCTGCTCCGGCAGCTAGATTGACGATATACTTTCCACCCCAGCAGAAACCAGCTCCGTAGATAGGAACCTCGGCACCTTCGTTCTCGCGTACGGACTTGAAGAAGTCCCTGATGATAGGCCATGTCACGCCGAACGTATTGTAGTACATGAAGGGCACCATTCCTGTCAGCATTGAGGCTAGATAGTATCTATAGCTTGGATTAGTAGAAAGCCCGACCTGGGCGGTGTTTTATCGACTTACGGCTTGATAAGCCAAGTTGTGAGTCCGCTGGTATTGAACAGCTCTTTTGTTGCAGACAGCATACTGACCGGGGCCGCATGTCCTGATATCATACTTAACGAGTTATCCTTAGGGATGACACTAGGACATACCGTTCATGAACTCAGGTAGATAAACGAGGTACTTCCCCTTTTCCGCGTAGTTATCGGCCAAGATTCGGTTGTTCACAAACTCCCACCCGAAGGCGTCAGGCACTATGATGATAATTCCCCGGTGAGGTACCTCATTTAGAGGTTTGGTCGTGTAGGCCTGTAAGCCATGGAGAGAGGTGATTTCACCACGGGGAATGCCTTGATGGATATCCCCACTAAAACAATTGGGACACGACATGTTGCGATGAGAGTTAACTAGGCTGATAATTGCAGGATGTGAAGTGCAAGAGACTCCAAGCACTTACAGATTACCCCTCTCGGCCCCCCGATCACACTAAACCGGATTAGGTCGGGGTTGATATAGATCATCAATACGAGATGACATTTCACCAAACATCAATGCTAGTGATCTCGGGGGCCTTAGGCCTCCGGATAGTCATAGCGGAGAGAAGTGACTAATTCCAATTTCCGAGGCCACGTAGTAATTAGAGTACAGGGGGAGAACATTAAACACTCTGCCCGCACGGAGTCTAGTACCTTCAGAACACTCTCTGTTCTTAGCATCTCGACAAGATTAGTACTAATAGGTCTCTCGATTGCTAGCACGCGAGCTAAAGGGCTTCAAATAACACGAGTAGCCGTATCTAGCGAATGGGGATTGGGTTGCTTGGCGAGAACCGGGTATGTACTTTGCTCTATCAGGTGGGGGCTTCCTATTTCAGCCGCTTTAATGAGGGCGCTTGGAGTCAGCTGACTCAGAGTAGATTTCAGTCCGCTCGGAGATAGTCACGTGATATATTAGTCACGCCATTGAGAGCCCCTGGGGCCCCGGGCCGTGTCCACGCGGATTCCTTAATTAGAGTTTGATCAGAGACATCTACTGACTCATAAGAAAACAGGGACTTACGCAGTGAAAATGAGACGAAGAAGCAAAAACGCACTCGATTTAGAAGGCAGATACACGCCTAGGAAGGTCTCTCAGTTTAAGAAGCTTCAGAATTGATCACTGGGCGGGTAGAAGCAAATGAAACCGGGTTTACGACCACGTACAAAACACTCCCCGGGGTGTGGAATATACAACATACAGATTGCCAGGACGAGAAAGAGAGACGTGTCCAGATCGATCTCATATTGAGTTTTATTTTAATCTAATAGCCTTTTAGTTGAGATAAATGCATTTGAATTCAATGGGGACCTAGGTATATTGAGACTGATTCGGCTCTCTGCATGTCTGTCTTTGGAAAAAAGAGGCGATTTTAGCGGAGATGCTTCTTGGAAAAGGTAAGCACTAGCTGTTTCAAGTCATTAGTTGAGGGGCCAACTAAGTAATTTACAATAGAAAAGCCGCACTAAGAAATCCTAACAAATTAGAGTTCTTCTGGTAGCGATCTCTGTACTATCGGAAGTGCTGCCTGCGGAATCTTTCGCATGAAATGTAAACCCGCAATACTATAAAGACGCCAGGGTCTCGTCTCCTGAACGAGAACTACCACCTTCTTAAGCCCTTCAATCACCTTTGCATCTTCTCCTAGCATCAGTCACCATGTCTCTCCCTCCTGCCGAAAAGCTCCCTCTTGCTCTCAGGAAGAATAGTCCGTATTTCATCATCACTCCCACCGTTGCTGAGGTACAAAAAAGCTGACTATACCTTGGCATCACAGTTCGCGACACGTATGAGTCTGCGAAAGAGACCATTGAAGCCAACATATCGAAATCACTCAGCGTCCCATGGACAATTGAAGTGAACCCTCTCGCATTATATCCTTACGCGGACTCGTCTTACGCCAAGGATGACATGGGTGCGATGATTGTGGAGTAAGCTCACACCTTCGTATCGGCACCAGTGGATAGTGCTGATCTTCTACATAGATACTTCAACAGTGCCGCGTCTCACCTGAACAACGTTGACGAGTTCGCAAAGACCGAGATCAACAAGTTGGCCCCCAACCATGTTCTGTCATTGGAAGTCGACAGCACGCTTGACCTTAAATACAACGGCGTTAATTTCAACGATGGCAACTTACGAATTGTCGTCACCCCGAAGGGGCTTGGTGTCAACATAGATTCTGCCCTAGAGAGCGACAATATGAAGCTAGGACTCAATGAAGCGGCTGCCAAAGCTGGCGGCCAGGACGACATCAGCTACATTGCTCGTGACAACATCGGCAAGAAATATGATCCAGTCATCACCAATGTGAAGAATCGGCTGGAGCAACTTTTCGGTCAACCATTTGAGCTTCTCCCGAACTTTGAAGACAACTTCGCCAAAGTGAAAAAGGAGAGTCAAGTCCCCGGCACAAAGCTGCCGGATAGTTGGGAAACAAACTTTGGCGCTACGGCTCTGGAGTACTTCGAGTCGCTAGCTACACATCTTGATTGGAACAACTTTGGCAAAGATGATTTGCTCAAAGAAGGATTCCTCGAGTCCGTCGACAAGGGCAAAGTCGCACTGCGTGTGGTGGACAAGCTTGAAGGGTCCAGCAACTACAATGAAGCCAAGATCGAGGATGGGGTGCTATATCTGCAGACCAAGGCAGATACTTGGGGTGTGAACACAAATCAAGCATCCCAGAAGATTGTGGATCTCCTGTAGGCACCACACAACAAATACATATCTAGCCCGAGCTTGGTAGAATTTATATTTATACTGTGCAATATACTTCATAATCTCTTTTATAGCTTAGTGCCCATGTTCACATGAACCGCCTTAGTCTGGCTATATGCCTCCAGACCCGCCTCTCCCAACTCGCGTCCAATACCACTCTGCTTCACACCACCGAAAGGAATGCGCGGATCACAGTCTTGGCTACTGTTAATCCAGACCATACCGGACTCAATCTCAGCGGCCACACGGTGAGCACGCTCCAAATCCCGCGTGAAGACAGACGCACCTAGGCCGTAAGTGCTATCGTTGGCCCGACGAATAGCCTCTTCCTCGGTATCAAAGGGGAAAATCACGACGACAGGACCAAAGACTTCTTCGCGGGCGATGCGCATGGAATCCGTTGCATTGACAATAACGGTAGGTTGAACAAAGTACCCATTCTTGATCTTCTCGTCAGTCGGCGTGTAGGCAGCACCGCCAGTGAGAATAGTAGCTCCTTCGCTCTTGGCGATTTCAAAGTAGGAGAGGATGCGCTCATATTGCGCGCGTGTCACCTGCGGCCCGTGGGAGACTGTCTCGTCCCACTGGTCTCCGATCTTCATACTCTCCACCGTCGCCTTGTAACTAGCAGTGAAGGCTTCGATGATATCGCGGTGGACGAAGATCCGCGAGGTGGCGGTACAGATCTCGCCCTTGTTGGACATGATACCGCCGTGCGACCACTTGACCGCCTGCTCCATATCCGCATCCGGGAAAACCAGCAACGGGGACTTGCCGCCTGTTTCGAGCGTGATGTTCTTGAGAGTGCCGGCGGCCATCTTCATAATCTCCCGGGCGGTTATTGTTGATCCTGTGAACGCGACCTTGTCGACCAATGGGTGCGAAACGAGCGCGGCGCCGGCCTCGCGCCCGTAGCCGTTGACGATGTTTACCACACCTGGGGGAAATCCGGCCTTTTTGATCAAAGTACCGAGAACGAGAGCGCTAAGAGGGGTCTGCTCGGCCGGCTTCAGAACAATCGTGTTTCCACATGCTAGTGCAGGGCCAAGCTTCCAGGTGGCCATTGAAAGGGGGTAGTTCCATGGAATGATCTGGCCAACTACTCCAATGGGCTGGCGGATTGTGTAGGCGAACTTTCGAGATGTCGTGGTGATGGTTTGACCAAAGGTCTTATCAGCCCAGCCGCTGTAATAGCGAATTGTTGAGATTGCCTCGGTGAGATCATCATTGAGGGCGACATGGTAGGGTTTTCCTGATTTGGATGAGCAAATTGACTTTTCTGAGTGATTTGCAGACATACCATTATCCCAAGCTTCAATGGACGCGAATAACTCTCTGCTCTCCTCCATCAGATCAGCGAGTCGGGCCATTAACTGCCCTCGCTCTGTCGCGGGAAGTAATTTCCATGAGGGGTGGACCAGCGCCGCTCTGGCAGCCTTCACGGCGCGGTCGACATCTTGGGCGCTTGCTGCTTGAACGGTGGCAATGGGTTTATCGGTACTTGAGAATAGTTAGTGATATGTACAACAGCGATTTCGATAATGACATACGCGGGGTCAAGAGATGTGATGGTCTGGCCTCCTGTAGCGGATACAGTTTCATTGTTAATGAATAGACCAGTGGGCTGTCTGTATTTGTGCCCGTTAGGCGTATATATATCAATGAAGAGGCTCATTTTGTGAGTTGAACAGTTTTCAGAGACTCCAACTCTCGAGGCGCGTGGGGTCTGATATAGTACATTTCTCCAATGAGGTTAAGCCCATTCAGGCAAGTCCTTCCGATATACTCTCCGCGGATGTTCGAGGTTAGTGGATCCGAGATTAAATGATAGAATAGTTAACTATCGTCAATTTATCTTAATCGTAGTATTTTCCATTATCTAATTATTCCACAGCCATCTCTCATGTCAGATCAGGGAGTCATGTTTAGCCCTAATGCGCCACTCGGAGCTTATATTTTCTCTCGGCTCTGTTTGGCTGAATATGTATGTCGCGAGACTAATTCTAATTCGATACGCTTTGGATATGAGGTTAATACAATCAAAGAAAACAAACTAACAAGCTCAATATAACTGAAAAGTGACAAATATATTGTTCTGCTGCCCAAATATGATATAGCCGGCTGTTGATCTCTCGTCTCTGGAGTGCTTCGTACGTACGCTGCTCTTGCTGTCACGGGATCGGCTTGCCATCTTGAGGGTGTATGGGAGATGTTGGTGTTGAGTGCGCACCGCCACGGATTTGCAACAATATGGACTAACAGCCCTCATCGCTTCCTATTTGGGGGCTCTGGTTCTTCGCGCCGTGTCGGTCCCAGGCCATTTAGGAGGGCGCGGAGCCAATAGCTGTTCTAGTTCATGTATAGTGCTAATTGACTGCACGGTTCAGTCTCCTCAGTCGCGGACAACTAGCCCTCAATGGCTCATTTAGTTCGGAGACACTGCAGCTTGCGATCGGTCTGTATATAATAGTAGGCAAGGTAGTTTGATCAGTTCGTACGTTGTGCTGGTGCTTTTTGATCTACCCGACTTGTTAGGGTGTAGCTAAAACCCGTCTTCGTGGTCAAGAGTGCAGTAGAAGGCAAGGATGGCATATAGTGGCTCAATATGTCGTGGTGTACCATTCCACCCTAGATCATCAATTCGCTTGAAGACCACCGTGTGAGCTCTACCGGGCAAATAACTATATCCGGTTGCAACATCTTCCAAATGTGCGTCGTGGGTCAGACCAGATTGCGGGTGGTGTGGATGCAGTTCGTTCGCGGATAGCACTGTATCATAAGCTGGCAGCATTTCAGATCTTTCTCAGTGTCCGAGACAGCGGAGCGCAGAAATTGACGACTGAAGTTTGGGCGGGTCGTTGCCACTAGCGACAATGTGATGCCAGTGAACGTATCTGTGAGACTCTCCAATGGAACAAGGGCACTAACATTGCCCTTGGTTGTGTCACTAAGTCCAATTCCAAGTTCCAGGGCCTGGATCTGTTAGCCGTTCTGAAACCGCGACAAAATGGGTGAGGTACTGGAGCAGCATGAGAATGCCCGCTTTGAACATAGGAGCGTTCGTGTACACGTCTTCAAGAAAGTCACGGATGGATACATTCCGGAATATCAATAGAGGGTCCAGCACACCAGATAGACAGTCAGCCTGTCTTGACCTTCTTCAATGTGTATGTATCCACAGGTACTATTCATCCAAGCTGGCACCGAAAAGGAAGGAACGACATGCAAAACTCTAAAAAAAAAGAGTAACCAAACATATACGAAAGCAAACGCCTTGATCTTCTGTGCATTTTCTAGATTAAAGCTAGGCAGACCTCACTACTATAGAGATGAGGTTAAAATAAGGTCGCCTGTCAAATATCTCCTCACCAGTTATAGTTGAACAGTGAGGATCAAACACGACGATATACAGATTCTGATTGGTCAGGATTCTACAATTCGCTTAATTTCTAGGCTACCATGGTTCATTTAGCATAGCTTGACTGTTTGATCAGAACAGCTTCAATCTACTCTCATTGATCCTTCAACCTGTAATGAGTTCTATCTCGATTAGAACTGGAATTTCGAAAATTCAACATCTACTTGCAATGCGGAAGCCTCAAGATTTCTAAAAAATCGCCTATAACTGGAAGGATCAATAATTTCAGCTTGGAATCACTTCAAACTTAATCAAAGTTACGTGATCTACGTGCCTGCCTGTAGGTATATAAGTAGAGCCCCCTCCCCCCGCGTGCGCGTAATGTAAGTCTGTAAGTCTATAAGTCATGAATTCCAAAATGGCAAGCAATAGCACACAGAACGAAACTCCTGCCTGGCTGAATTCCGTGTTCCCTGGCGCTTATGGCCTCATTGGCCTAGTTGTTGTCGTGGCCCTGGTCTTCTGGGCCATTCGGTACGTGCAGCCTGTTTTGATCGTATTGGTCCGTCATGCTAATGAGATATATGTCCAGCTTTTTGGCCCTAGAGGCCAGACTTAGCGACCCCCAACGGGCGCTAACAGATCATTTCATCCGGCAAGTTGCCGAAATCAGAAAGGCCAAGGCCGCAAGCAAAATGGAGGAGAAGAAGGAGAAGACCGAGGAGAAGGATGAGAGGAAAAAGCGGTGGGCGGACTGGTTGCTGAAGCCGTTCGGTTAGCATACCCCAGAAGTACTTTTTGGAAGCATAGGTGTTGGGAAGGATGTATACTAACCAAGAGTGTCCGTCCCTAGGCCTTCTTGAGATTTCCTTCTCCACCAATGCCATGCTCCGGCGCCTCGGCAGCAGCAGCAACAGAAAGACCGACCACCCCGTTTTATACGTCATTGTGGAGGAGTTTGGTGCTTCTACGGCGGAAGCGGAAGCCGAGCTTGAAGACGTCGACTGCGATGGCATTGTGATCCGATGGGTGCGTGTCCCGCGCGGGTACCGTCTCCCGCCCAAGTCCAAGAAGGCTAGCACGTTGGCCGAAGTTGTCGGTGCCCTCCAGGGCAGAAAATAAATCTTTGATCGTCTTGTCTCTACCACCTACCCCGGAACCGGCCGGGATGGTGGATTCGCTCATCCTTTCCTCACGCAGGCCGTAACCCCCTGCTGTTACTTATTGTATATACATGTCGCTTGCCATGTTGGCTTGTTTGGGCCCTTGTTGGACCTCGTTGGACCTTTTTGGCCCCTTTTGGCCCGTCCTTGTTTGTTCTGGATTTTGGATTGTTTGTTTGTCCTCGGGTGTTTTGGAGTTTGTTTTTCTTTATTTATACCCTGGCGTTGGTGTTGGCGGTTGTGCTGTTTGTTCTGTTCTGTTATCGTTATTGAAATATTATTTATTGGATCCCTCTATGTTGTTGGACCAAAACGATCCTGATCATATCTTGATCCTCTCTCCATTGTAGATCTGCATGCTCACGATACTTGTGATGAGGAAAAAGGATGGGGCGGCAGAAACGCTACCCGTAAGCGGTCAGCCGACTCACATATCTGACAGCCAATCAGCACGTAGGATTTAACGGGCACTCACAAGTATGTAATCAACCTCCAGGGCTTCCAAGGTTGGAACCTTCAGAAAACCTTCTACGCAACTAATCCATTTTAGGAGGGTGATCACACTATGACTCAGGGATACCTATTAATGAGGATCGTTTTTCTATGCTTTCTTCAATCTTCTCCTGGTCCTGATGCTCATATTCTACAAGTTTACTCCCAAAGTACTTTCCAAGGCTTTCTTATCTTTTTCTCGTGCTAAGCTTTCCACCCACGATCATGGAGCTTTTCTTCTATTTTCTCAAACGCGGAGCAGTAGATTTCTACCGGCAAATATTCGCCGATATGCTTCTTGCCGAGCACGCTCTGCGCGAACTATCGCAGCGTGAGGAATCGCTACATCATAGAGCCATGGCCTTACAAAAGACCGTAGCTATCGAGTCTGATCGACTCCAGCCTGACAAGACCACCCCTGTCGAGTCTACCAGGGCCGAGCTTGAAAATACGAATCAACAGCTTAAAGAGATCCAACTGCAATATTCAAGAAAGGAGTATGCCCTTTACCGAGCGACCTCTGGGCTTCCACCGTACTTTAAAGAACTTTATGATAACTTAAGGCGTGATCCTAACTGGTTTATGCGAGAAGAACTAGTTCAGGATTGTTCGGATCGGGGCGGCTGTTGCAGCCGGGAATGTGGATGCTGCGCACAGAGGTATATGTTTCAAAGGAAGAAAGGCAGAGGTCATTGCACCACAGAGTGCCAGTGCTGTATCGGCTTTCGTGGCTTCGAGTTTCCAGAAGAAGATAAAGAAGAGATTAGAAGAGACTTCAAAGCTAGGGTTGAACTCGAGGACTTGGCGTACTTTATGAAGCTGACAAGGTGGTCTTTTTGCCCGATAAAGCGCCAAAGGCTTTCAAAACAAAAGCTCCGGTGGCATCGAATTTTCACCGGTTCCACCGATGAGAAAGAGTCATGAGGATGGCCGTACTTTGCTTGAATGTCGCTACTTTGCTTGAATGTCGCTACTTTGCTAGAGAATGATCTGCTAGGGGAATAGATTCTTTTGACTAGTTACGTAGATAAAGTTGATGGTGTCACAGATTAGCCAGCTATTACAGAAGAAAATGCGAAAACATTGCTTCATTCTGGCAGTAATATGTTGCTCAAATAGTCCGAGTGTTCAGGTAGAGATTGCGCACATGCTCTTTCCCCCGTGGGTGTGCATGATGGACTTGAAGGCCTCGCAGCTTTCATTCTCGTCGTACAATGAGATAATGCGGATTACATATCTTTTTGCGAAGACGCATAGCGTCCGCCTGGTAAGAATCGGAGCCTTGGGTGTTCTGAAGCTAGCAAGACGTAATCATGGCAAGCAGTTCCAGAGGGGAGGGGGAGTAGTGCTGGACTATTCTGTCTGCCATGAGTTGTAGTAGCCCACTGGATACGGAGTACGAGGGAAGAAGATGTCGACCAGAAATGACGCACTTCCGTACGTTCCTTACCTCTGGTGTTGTATTAGTAGACGAATTAGTCTTATATAGGATTCCGATGAATAGCAGGGAATTAGAGCTAGAATAGAAAGAAGCCTTCATCCCGATGATAGTAATGCATCCTAAATAGGAAAATTTGACCCAACAAGGCAAGTCACTCCTCTACAGCTCGGAATGAGTAGAATCATGAATATGGAAACGGTAAGAGATTCCAGCAAAATCCAAGTATATCTAGATTATGACCACTTCCAATTCAACCATCCTCATTATCTTTCCCAACCAAATCATCTCTTCCTCTATACCTCTACAAACCTCCAAAATGGCCTCCCTCGGCGGAATAATGGTGGCCCTAATCACCCCCTTCACAGACGACAAGACCGCAATCGATCCAAGCCGCCTACAAGCACACATCGAGCACTTGATCACAGCCGGCGTGCACGGTCTCGTTCCAGGCGGCAGCACCGGCGAATTCACCACACTGACAGTCGCCGAGCGCAAGCAACTAACCGAGCTCTGTGTGAAGTTCGCCGCAGGCCGAGTGCCCGTCATCGCCGGCACAGGCAGCCTCTCCTCGGCCGAGGCAGTCGAGCTCTCCGTACACGCCGCGCAAGCCGGCGCCGCGGCGACCATGGTCGTGCCCCCGTTCTACGACCCCGTCAACCTGGAACAGCTGCACGAGCTGCTGTCCGAGATCCACACGGCCTCGGGCCTGCCTATCGTCTACTATAATATCCCTTCTGCGTCTGGGATCACCCTCTCCCCTGCGGAGATCGCTGGTCTGTCCAAGGTCGGCGTCAAGTACCTCAAGGATACCTCTGGTAATGCGCCCGCGCTGACGGAGCTGATCTTCGGTCTGTCGGATCAGATTGTCTCGTTTAATGGGTGGGATACTTTGACTTTCTATGGTCTTGCGGCTGGCGCGCCCGGTGGTATCTGGGGTGCGGCGAATATTATCCCCGAGTTGGCGGTTGAGCTTTATGAGGCGGTTTCCGTGAAGGGGGATTTGAAGCGCGGGCGGGAGATTTGGGCGAAGGCTTGGCCTATTTGCAAGTTCTTGGAGTCTCATAACTATGCGGCTGCTGTTAAGACTGGTGTTGAGTTGATTGGGCAGCCTACTGGGGGCTTGCGCAAGCCTTTTGCTCTTCTCAATCCGAAGTTGACGGCGGAACTTAAGCAGTTGTTGCAGAATGCTGGAGTTAAGACTGTTTAGTATTCTGTTCTGGATTAAGATGATTGAATGTCGGAATGAGAATGTCACACTTACTATCCACTCAATTTATTGAATATACAACATTGGAATCTTCTTCGTTGCGTCGTAAAAGTGCATAATAGAGATCGCAGAACATAAAAAAGATGAGAATAGCCACCTGGATCAGCAAAACAATGGCCATATCTGTCCTTGCTTCACAGTATCAACCCACGATGGCATCGATTCACCCCGGTTCGCGGTCAGATGCTCATCCTGCTTGCACCACACTTCAGTGATAATATTTCTGGCCGTTCCAAAAGCGGCAAAGCCACATATTGAGCTCGCCCTATCTAACATGATCATAATCGCCTCCCGCCTTGCGGTTGACATTGCCTCACATCCTGCAATGAACAACGGCCACGCCGTTCCGGGCCCAGTGGGATCATCTTGCGTCAATGTCGCACTGCACGCTTGAAGCGCTGTGATAACACTATCAACATGACCCTGCAGAGCCGCAGGGTGGGTTTGTCGAATTCGTCTGTAAAAGAAAATTACGAGAGCTGCATTCAATGCCTCCACCATGTGACCGTGCGATTTTGAATCGGCGTGGAGTTCCAGGATTCCGGCTCTTGTTCGGCCTAGGCTGAAAGAGCAGATCATGTTTTCCAGGCGCGTGCTACGTCGCTGTAGTGTTTCCCATGCTTCGAGGTTCATGGTCTGACCTGCCTCACGGGCAATACGGAATATCTCCAAAACGTTGGCTAGTCTTGTTGTTTGCGAGACAAGGCTAAGCCATGTTTCGGTGATGCCATAAATTTGCTTGTATAATGTTTCAGGGTAACTCCGTGAGTCCTGGAGATGAATGTCATAAAGTCCCGAAGCTTGGTCCTTGGGTTCATCGATATTCAGATCACTATCTGAGTTTTGTGTCTCGAGGCGGAGGAAATCGTCCAGCCGAGGATTTGGCTCAGTGCTCCCCATTTCTGAACTCGGTGAGGATCGTGATTGAAACCGAGAACCAAGTGCTTCAAATGAGGAGGGAGAGAGGTTATAGTCATGTAGAACAAATGTGCTCTCGCCGACTATTCTTAGCCAGGTGTAGACATGATGCAAAAGCCGTGCCTTTTTGGAAATCCGGGTCTTTGAAAGTCCTCGAAGACGTAGTAGCCGCTCTGCATCAATCATAAAACACCGGGCGTGTTGTTGTTGGCCGGACATGATCTGTGAAAGTCAGAGTCATTCAATTGAGGTCAAATTGAAAACCCACGGTGTACTGTATGAGAATGAATGCAGCCATCAGCTGGTCTTTATATTTTGCTTTCTTCAAACCCTGGGTTTCTGAATGCAGAGAGGTTTGCATATGGTCCTTGGCTTGCAGATACGCCTGGGTGGCAACCTTCCACCAATACCCAGGCGGCTTTGTCGATATTGCCGCGGGGTTTAAAACAAGGTGAATAGCAGAGCAGGCGAGCAAGCCATACAAATTTGCAAGTTTGGCATGACTGATCCTTTCAGTCCCAAGAAAGGTCGAGTCACTGTATGTAACCACCGCTGCCGGCACGTTCAAAATCTTCCAAGGCGACTTTTGCCGACAGGGAATGGCCATTATGTGTGGAATGACAATATCCTGGAAATGTCTAAGCAGGCACGGAGCATCTTTCAGTGCATCTATATCAGTAGAAATAAGCTCAGCTGGTGCGTATTGTGTTGTGAAAGTCTGCAGCTCATTGGTGTGATTTAAGTCAACGGGCAGTCCCATCTCGTGGCTCATATCAAATGATAAATCATTCGGCGTACTCAAAGCACCGTTTGCTGCAAACTCCGTCTGGCCTAGGTCAAAGCTCAACAGATCAGACCAATGGAGGAAGTCATCAATATGAGACAGGGAATCAAGTGGACTAGGCTCTTGCAGTTCCTCAGGAGCCATAGTTTCGGCCTCAACTGCAAAATTTATATCAGACTTCACGGGCTCAATTTCATGCACCAGTTCTTGTGGCTTTTGTGGTGCCGAAGAAAAATCAAGAACCGCAAAGGGTCCAATGACAATGTCACCGTCGAGCGACCGTTCAGGGTCTCGCAGTCTCGAGTCCACTTCTGCCAATGATGCGTCAATAGAGCCTGATATAAGATCGGATCCAAGCGCAGTGCTCATAGAAACTCTAGATTGCTCTAAAACATGTTAATAACACTAATTTGTTCCATACTGTCAAGGCCATGTACCTGAATAAAGATACCGGCGAGTCCCACGAGTACTCTCAGCCTCCTCGCCGCTATCAGTGCGCATCCACAGTACCTGATCGGAATATCCCTCGCATTTCACACCCAAGGCCCGGCAGGTACGACAAACGGGCCGTTTCTGGTCGCATTTGACATGCCGGCGTCTGCAGGTGCTGCATCCTCCTAGCGCATGGGATCGGCGAGGTCTTGGTCGTTTAGATGTCACCATTTTTGAAGACTTGATATATATATTCAATTAAAAGAGCTTATTGCGGATTCATTTCCATATTAGAGGTTGGGAAGTCGAAGTTATGGCCAACCCCGCCAATATCGGAAGCGCCTTCCTAGATGGGATCTCTTATCGGGCTATCTCCTCGGAGTCAACTGCTCTTGTCTTTCTTTTGACAACAATTCCATTCCAATCAGATCATCTCGTTGTTTGCCATAAAACATCAGTGGGACGGCCAAATCAGATTGGGCCGGTCAAGTTGGGAATACAGCTGTCAACCCGTTTGTTTCGCACCTGCAGTGGATGATGTCGTGGACTTGGTATACACGTTGAGATCAGAAGTGGCCGTCCAAAACACACACAAGGCTCGCTCTAGATACCAAGAACACAGTGTCCTGAGCCGTATAAGCAACTCTGACTCTCTTTTTGTAGAGCCTTTCCTTACCAGACTTGAACCCAGCACGTTTGACAGCCCATGCGCAATCTCCTCGACGCTCTTGTATGAATGGCGCTGATGTCGGTTGTATAAGTCGTTGGCATTTGGTAAAAGATCTGTGCGACTGAACATTGACCCATGACATTGTCTGAGGAATGTCAATTCGGCAAGCGACTCCGATGATCGTCCGTGATAGGAAACCAACTCAGAAAGCACTCTATACCAAAGAGAAACACCTTATGCACATCTCAATCCGGAAAAGGGATGACCTCGGAAGGGGAGAGACCATCGGGAATCCTTCATATTTGAACTGTGCCGTCGTCGCCTTGCTCTATCCATTCTTCTTATCCAAATTCTATAACCACATCCTAATACATACGGTACAATGGCTCACCGCGGGGAAACCCTTCACAAAGATGTATGCTGCATTGCCGACCTGAAGCAAATGGGGAGCAGTCGGCTGTCTCCGATGGTCAGAGGTGAGTACCAATGAATAGTTTCCGACGTTGGTTCATTGTGCCAGTGCTGATGTCGATAGACTACTACAACGGAGGAGCCATGGATCTAATCACGTATGGAACCTCGAAGCGCAGACCCGGTCCATCTCCCTGACGTATGTCTAGTCTGAACGAGAACGAAGCAGCCTACGACCGCTACAAGATCCGCCCCCGGATCTTAATCAACGTCGATAAAATCGACACAACCGCCGAAATCCTCGGCAGCAAGGTATGTTATATTCCACTTCAACAGAAACGAAAACACCAGTGCCAACTCCGACAATCAAACAGGTCTCACTCCCATTCGGCTTCAGCCCCGCTGCATCAATGAAACTCGCGCACCCAGACGGCGAGCTCGCGACCTCGCGCGCAGCCGCAAAATACGGTCTCTGCATGGGCCTGTCCTCATACTCGAATTATCCACTCGAGGATGTTGCCGCTCAGGGCACCGGCAATCCGTATGTGATGCAGATGTGTGTACTGCGGGATCGGGCGATTACGGTGCAGTTGCTAGAGCGGGCGGAGAGTATGTATCTTGGATGCTTTTTTTCATGGTTGACTACATAGACCGTACTAATATCCTTTTCAGAGGCGGGGTACAAGGCATTATTCCTGTCGGTTGATGTACCCGTGTTAGGCAAGCGCATCAATGAATACCGGAATGAGTATACTATCCCGGACGATATGTCGTGGCCGAATGTGCTTAGCCACGGAGGGGATCACTCGGATCGTACCGAGTATGGTATGTATTGCGAAGCTGATGTGGAGTTATTGTGAGGGATAGGTAAATGCTGATGTTATGCAGACCCCAGTTTGGACTGGGATAACACGATTCCTTGGTTGAGACAGCATACATCTCTGAAGATCTGGCTTAAGGGTGGTATGTTTGCGTGGAGTGATCAAGTAAAGGGGCTCGCAGTTCACTGACTATTGGCAGTAACGTCTCCCGAAGATATAGAACTGGCCATCAAATATGGCATTGACGGTGTTGTCATTTCGAACCACGGTGGCCGGCAACTAGACGGCATGCCGTCGACGGTGGATGCATTGCGGGCCTGTGCCCCGGTAGCCAAGGACCGAATGCCGATTGCGGTGGATGGGGGCATCCGACGCGGCTCGGATATCTTCAAGGCGCTGGCATTGGGGGCTAGCTTCTGTTTTATAGGAAGGATCCCGATCTGGGGGTTGGCTGTATGTGTTTGTTTGTTTGTTTGTTAATTGTTCTGTTTGCTGACCCATACAGTATAACGGACAAGAAGGCGTTGAATTGGCGATTCGGATTCTCCGCCAAGAACTGAGGATCACCATGGCATTAGCCGGGTAAGTGATTATTGGTCTGGTATCAAATTAATAAAAATTAATCGGAAGCAGGTGCCGAACGATCAGCGAAATCCAAAAATGCTATCTTTCTGTTTTGCAGCCGGACGGAATCTTCTCGAAACTGTGATACAACTGCGATACTCGGTATTTTTCTCTATTTTGAGGCTTTTATCATACACCTCCCTTTGATATGCGCAATGAGGTCATGTGCTGCATCCTCAGGGCTTGGTATGTCAGCTGTCACGATACGAGTACTTGTTCCATACAAGCCGTGTGCCAAGCCCTTGGCAACCCGACAGGGCTGAAGGCGACTTTGCCAGCGTTTTCCTGGAGAACGAGGCTGTGCAGGCCATACGTGTGCCTTGTAGCCTACATAGCCACAGTTAGTGGAATAAAACAAGGGGAAACATGGAGTCGCGACGTATGTTGTATGTTGTAGAGTCTAGACACCGAGTCTACTCCCGGGGCTTGTCCTGACTCCTAAGCCTCACCGCACAGGCAACACCGTTATTCGTTCCTATACTTAGTAACGTGTCCACGGATTGTACACCGTAACCTCATAGTGCGTAAGCGTGTCCTTAATCTCCACGGGCGCTAGTTCGTTGTTTCAATTTTCGCCGATCCTCCACATTATTGGAAAACTACATATAGCGTCCTTTTCTCGCTTTTCTCTTTTTCTCTTTTCTATCTCTACCTCTGTATACCTTCACTCTGAATACACGCTACCTCCAACGTACAACCATACAACATATTCATACCCATACATATACATACCACCAATACAAACATGTTCAACTTCAACTTCTTCAAGTCCGCCCCGGCCAACGAGCCCACCGCTGAAAGCTGGAATCCCAACACCATCACCATGCAGCCCACCAGCCCTGCTCCCCCTTCAGCCAACCAAAACGTCGTCTCTGAACAGCCTGTATGTTGATATCCCATAACTAAACAAGCCCATCCCAAAACATAAACTAATATCGCCTTAGACCAGCCAAGAACAAATGCAGCTGCGCGGTGGTGGCGGTCTCTGCTGCGGATTGTACGTTTCTCTTCTATCCCTACTAATAAAACTCCAAACTAACTTAACCCAGCTGCGCCGGTCTCGCTTGCTTCGAGTGCTGTGAGATTTGCTGCTAGACGATGGAATAAGATGAGATCGGGATGTGGCCGCCGATGCGCTCGTGCGACAACAATGTTGATGGACTCGGCCTTGTTGGGTCCTTAAGCGCGTGGCCTCGGCGGTCTTTGATGTGATGCGATGCGATTTGATGCGATTTGATTTGATGGCCGGGGGGGGGGGGGGGGGGGGGGGGGGGGGGGGGGGGGGGGGGGGGGGGGGGGGGGGGGGGGGGTGGGGGGGGCGTG